GAAGTCATATTTATTAGTAAGGTTTGTTCTTGGTTTTGGGTTTTCTTTTAATTATTAATTTATATGAAAGTTATAGGGCTATTAAGCTTTTAATTTTTTGCATTAACTTTTGGCAAGTTATATTTTTATATTGTTCAACTAACTAAAATTTTGAATTTATTGGAATAAAGTTGTTAAAAAGTATCCTTATGGGAGCCTGGGTGGCTCAGTCGTTAAGCGTCTGCCTTCAGCTCAGGTCATGATCCCAGGGTCCTGGGATCGAGTCCCACATCGGGCTCCCTGCTCGGCAGGAAGCCTGCTTCTCCCTCTCCCACTCCCCCTGCTTGTGTTCCTGCTCTCACTATGTCTCTCTCTCTCAAATAAATAAATAAAATCTTAAAAAAAAAAAATACCCTTACTGTCTTTTTCATTTCAGTAGAATCTGTGGAGTTATCCACATTTTCATTTCTGACAAGGGTTTTTTTTATGCCTTCTCTTTTTCTCATGGTGATTTCAAAGAACTAACATTTGGCTTTTATTGATGCTCCCATTTCTGATTGTTTTCTGTTTTATTCATTTTTAATTTTATTTATATTTTCACCAACATTTCATTTCATTTTGTCTTTAGTTCCTTCCTTTCCCCCTCCCTTTTTTTGGTATTTAATTTTTTGTCCTTTTTCTAAGTGGATACGTAGCTCTTTGATTTTCAGCTTTCCTTCTTCCCAGATATATGCATTTAAAGATAAAAATTTTCCTTTAGTTCAGCTGTATTTGTATTCTCTAAGTTTTGATATGGAGTACTCTTACCATTCAGATAATGATTATACATGCTAATAAAATTCTTTCTGATTTTTATGGCCAGGGGTGTTGAGCCTTGGGTTATATACGAGTGTAAATTCCTAACAGGAGATTTTTTTTTTTTTTTTTTTAAGATTTGATTTATTTATTTGAGAGAGAGAATGAGAGAGATCATGAGAAGGGGAAGGATCAGAGGGAGAAGCAGACTCCCTGCTGAGCAGGGAGCCTGATGTAGGACTCGATCCCGGGACTCCAGGATCATGACCTGAGCCGGAGGCAGTTGCTTAACCAACTGAGCCACCCAGGCGCCCCTTAACACGAGATTTTTAAGTGATCATTTTGTTAATTTCTAGCTTATGTGCAAAAACGGTATTCCAGGTGATTTTGAGTCTTTGGAATTTGTGGCTTGCTTTAATGGTCCAACATATGGCTAGTTTTCATAAATACTCCATTTGCACTTGAAAAGAATATGTATTTTATAGTTGTTGGGTATGGTGATCTTGAATTAGACCAAACTTGCTAATCATTTAGGTCTTTTATATTCATACTGATTTTTTCCCCTTTTTTTGTTTGAATATTTTGGTTACTTTATTTCCTTAAATTCTAATATCATAAAAAATGAACACATTTACAGTTTTCGTAAATTTATCCATTTTTAAAAAAGATTTTACTTATTTATTTGAGAGAGAGCATGAGAGGGGGGAGGGTCAGAGGGAGAAGCAGACTCCCTGCTGAGCTGGGAGCCTGACTCCAGGCTTGATCCTGGGACTCTGGGATCATGACCTGAGCTGAAGGCAGATGCTTAACCAACAGCTCAAGGCGCCCCTTATTTTAACCATTTTAATATTTAACAGCCTTTACAAATGTGTGTCTGAATCACTTGTATTTTACTTAAGGTTTTTTAAAAATTACTAATTCTTATTGTGGTAAAATGCATATAAAAATGGTTAAAGTTGGGGCGCCTGGGTGGCTAAGTCGTTAAGCGTCTGCCTTCGGCTCGGGTCATGATCCCAGGGTCCTGGGATCGAGCCCTGCATCGGGCTCCCTGCTCCACGGGAAGCCTGCTTCTCCCTCTCCCACTCCCCCTGTTTGTGTTCCCTCTCTGGCTTTCTCGCTCTCTGTCAAATAAATAAAATCTTAAAAAAAAAAAACAAAACCATGGTTAAAGTGATCAATTTTATGTTAAAAATGCACATGCAGGGTGCCTGGGTGGCTCAGTCGTTAAGCGTCTGCCTTCAGCTCAGGTCATGATCCCAGGGTCCTGGGATCGAGTCCCACATTGGGCTCCCTGCTTGGCAGGAAACCTGCTTTTCCCTCTCCCACTCCCCCAGCCCCTGCTTGTATTCCTGCTCTCGCTATCTCTCTCTCTGTCAAATAAATAAATAAAATCTTTAAAAAAAAAAAATGCACATGCAATAATTCTGTTTTCTCCTTTCAGTCCCCGTTAACCTCTTTATTACTTTCTGTCTGCATGAATTTGTCTATTTTAGAGAATACAAGGGAAGTCATACAGTATTTATTCTATTCATGTCTGGATTATTTTACTTGGCATAATGTTCTTAATATTTATGATGTTGTAGCATGTGTCAAAACTTCATTTCTTGGGGCACCTGGATGGCTCAGTTGGTTAAGCATCTGTCTGCCTTTGGCTCAGGTCATGAACCCGGGATCCTGGGATTGAGCCCTGCGTCAGGCTCCCTGCTCAGCAGGGAGTCAGCTTCTCCCTCTCCCTTTGCCCCTCCCCTGCTGGTGCTCTCTCAAACACGCTCTTCTCTCTCTCTCAAATAAATAAAATATTTTTTAAAACTTCATTTCTTTTTAAGGCTGAATAATATTCCATTCTTTGGATATACCACATTTTGTTTATCCATTCATCTGTTGATGGACATTTGGGTTGTTTCCATCTTTTAGCTCTGTGAATAGTGCTGTTATGAACATTGGCGTACAAATATCTGTTTGACTCCCCGTTTTCAGTTATTTTGAGTATATATCTAGAATTGGAATTGTTTGGTCATACATTAATTCTATATTTAACTTTTTGAGGAGCTATCAACTGTTTTCTACAACAGCTGCACCATTTTACATTCCCAACAGCAATGCAGGTTTCCATTTTCTCCCATTTTCTTGTCAGCACTTAGTATTATCTCTTTTGTTTATTATAGCCATCCTAGTGAGTGTGAAGTGGTATTTCATGCTTATAATTTGCATTACCTTTATGACTAATAATGTTCAATATCTTACCATTTGCTTATTGGCCATTTATCTTTGAAGAAATACCTTGTCTCGTTTTGTGTCTTTTTAAAAAATTACTTTATTTTAGTTACTATATTTTCAAAATTGTTTATGGCAGTAATTAGAGTTCAAAGATGATGATACTGACTTTCAGAGATTTTTTTTTTCTTTTTATATTTTATTTATTTGAGAGAGAGAGAGAGCATGAGCTGGGGTGAGGGGCAGAGAGAGAGAGAGAGAGAAGCAGATTCCCCTCTGAGCAGGGAGCCCGACGCGGGGCTCAATCCCAGCACCCTAGGATCATGACCTGAGCCGAAGGCAGACACTTAACTGACTGTGAGCCACTCAGGCATCCCTGACTTTCAGAGAATTTTTGCTTTTTTATGATAGGTGCTTATTGAGATGAGTGAAGGTTGAACTTGTGATTTTATGTTTTTTACTTTTAGTTCTCTCTTAACTCCTGGGGTAGGGATTTTCCAGGTCCCAACACAGAACAAGCACCATTCACTCTTGCCCCCAACCTCTTGGTGGCTCTAGACTCCAGTCTTTGTCTCTCTCTAGTCCTTTAAGACTGTCAAACAGACCATCTGCCTTTTAACCTTCCTCTTGGAATCAGAAAAGGTGCCAGGAAAAAAGCAACCCTAAATAACAGACACCTTGCTGTGCTAATGGCCCTGAGTGCTGGCTCGGTCCTTTTTTACTATCTTGTTGGCTCTTGACACCTAAGAGAGCTCTGGGTTTTCTAGTTATCCTCCCTCTCTGGCGTCACCCAGGTTGTCATTTAATAGGAAGGCAAGTTTTAATTTTCATGGAAATAACAATTCTTTATTGTCAAGTGCTTATTTCATTGGCTTATTTAATATATATTTATGTCATTATAATAAGTATAACTAGCATACATGCGTTTGGAACAAATGCTATTGATGATTGTTAACCATATAACTCAGTTGTTGAGATTAGAAATAAACAAGAGTGGTCTGCTACTTGTAGTTTGTTTCTTTAATTATTTTTTTAACAATTTATTTGAGAGAGAGAGAGCACATGTGCAGGAGGGAGGGGCAGAGGGAGAGGGAGTCCCAAGTGGACTCAAGACCCTGAGATAACGACCCAAGCTGAAACCAAGAGTCAGACACTTAACCGACTTCGTCATCTAGGTGCCTCATGTAGTTTGTTTGTTTGTTTGTTTGTTTAAGATTTTATTTATTTATTTGACAGAGAGAGAAATGGAGTGGGGTGGGGGGCAAAGGGAGAGGGAGAAGCAGACTCCCAGTTGAGCAGAGAGCCTCATGCTGGGCTCAGTCCCAGGATCCTGGGATCATAACCTGAGCCGAAGGTGGATGCTTAACTGACTGAGCCACCCAGGCACCCCAATCCAGCAAGTTTTTAAGTGGAGGTTGAATAAGAGATCTCCTCTACGAAGCTTATATATGATAGAGGTTCTTGCCTTAAGTAAACCTACTGTATGTACACCTGAAATTTGCATCATTGGATGTCAGGGTTTTTCTCCTTTTTCTTTCTCATCATCTTTAAAAAAGAAATCTTAATCAGCAAATGCCTCTTTCCTATTTTCTTCAAGGCAGCACGCCAGGTTCTGTGAGGAGACAGTCATGAATCCTGTCAAGAAAGGAAGAAAATGTTTAAAGAAGAAGAAGTTATTTAGAGTAGTAACTGAAATATAAGACATAGTATGATGGGTTAACTAAGTGTCTGGGTAGAATGCTCAGGGTTCAGAGGAGAAGGACTTTTCAAGGAGATTTCCCACTTTGTTTTGAATGTACTTAGCTTATTCTTCCAAACACCAGAGAGTAATATATTTGAGACCTTATATTCTGGTTATGTATTAAACATTGTGAGTTGAACTTGTTAGGTCATTTTTAGATATGTAAGGGCTGAACAAGAATGCTCTTTTCGACTAGTTTTTAAGATAATGTTAGTTATGTAATTATGTGTGCCTGAGGTTTTTTTGTTTTCCCGTTTTGGTCTCTTTATAGGAAGAGCATTAAGAAGTTGGTTTTGAAAAACCTTAACAATAGCAATCTCTTCTCTCCTGTTAATCGTGATTCAGAAGATCTAGCTTCACCATCTGATTATCCAGAAAATGGGGAGAGGTAAACCGAATTTTGTTTTGGGTTGTTTCTAGTAGAGCACCCTGTTCTCATTTTGAAGAGATTCTGAGCTTGGAATTTATTCATTCTGTGAAAATTTATGAAGTTTGGTGAATGTGGCATGGTATTACAGATATGAGCACCTAGAAATTGATCATGTTTTTGCTTTTTGAGTATTTTAGACCTTAAAATTATTGGAGATCTTCTGATTCAGTTCTACGTAATTATTTTGATATCCATGTGTCATTTTGGACAGGGTTCTCATACATTTGACACCCCTTTCCCCCCTTTAAAATAAGGGATGTCTTATTTGTGATAATTATCAAAGTGATGCATAGTCATTGTAACTACACCAAAAAAATAAGTATATAAGTGTATAAAGGAGGAAGTAGAAATATACACAATAATCCTTAATAGTTTGATGTATATTCTTACAGTTTAGAAATTTATTTATATAGATACATTGTAGAGACTAGGCATGACTGATAGAATATTTTTAGCCTGCTTATTTCCACTTATTTTATTATAAATGCCTTTCTATATCTATGAATACATTTGCCTCTTTTTAAATTTTTATTTTTTTAAGATTTTATTTATTTATTTGACAGAGAGAGACACAGTGAGAGAGGGAACACAAGCAGGGGGAGTGGGAGAGGGAGAAGCAGGCTTTCCGTGGAGCAGGAAGCCTGATGCGGGGCTCGATCCCAGGACCCTGGGATCATGACCTGAGCCGAAGGCAGACACTTAATGACTGAGCTACCCAGGCGCCCCTCTGCCTTCTCTTTTTTTAATGACTTTAATAGCCATCTTGGTGAATATATGATAATCAGTTCCCCATTGGAGGACATTTAGATTATTTTGGTAAACTTTTTTTTTTTTTTTAAGATTTTATTTATTTATTTGACAGAGACAGACACAGTGAGAGAGGGAGCACAAGCAGGGGGAGTGGGAGAGGGAGAAGCAGGCCTCCTGCTGTGCAGGGAGCCCAGTGCGGCGCTCGACCCCAGGACCCTGGGATCATGACCTGAGCTGAAGGCAGATGCTTAACGACAGAGCCACCCAGGAACCCCTATTTTGGTATTCTTATATTCAAAATAATGCCTCAGTGAAAAATTCTATATACATCCTTGCACTCCTGGGTTTTTTTTTTTCTTCCTTGGATAAAATTCTAAGTTGATGTTTCCTTAATGAAGCATAATACCTTGCTGATGATAATACTAAAAACCTAAAATTTTTAGTTTGAAATTCACCACTCTTTGTCCTTATATAGTAGAATGCCTTTTTTCTTTTTCTTTTTTTTTTTTAACTAATATTTGGGATGCTCAGATTCATTCATTCATGAAAGTAGATCAGTTGTAATCTTATCGTGAAAATAGGTCGTGTAATCTACAGCCAGATTTCCTGTGTTAAAATCCCAACTCTAGCACTTAGAGTTTTTTAATTTGGGCAAGTTATTTTATTTTCTCTGTCAGTTTAAATAAATTTTTAATATGTAGAATTACTCAGTAAAGGTTTAGTGAGGGTTGGCTGTTATCATTGTTATAAAGGGCTAAGATACCATTTGTTTCTTTTCTACTTTTCAGATTCAGTTTCCTGAGCAAACCTGTTGATGAGAACCATCAGCAGGATGGAGATGATGATTCTCTTGTGTCACGTTTTTATACTAACCCTATTGCCAAACCCATTCCTCAAACCCCGGAGAGTGCTGGAAATAAACACAACAGCAGCAGCAGTGTGGATGATACCATTGTTGCATTAAACATGCGTGCTGCTTTGCGAAATGGGCTGGAAGGAAGCAGTGAAGAGACCTCTTTTCATGAGGAGTCACTGCAGGATGACCGAGAAGAAATAGAAAATAATACTTACCATATGCATCCAGCAGGTTAGATACAAATTGATACATGGGTAATGTTTTACCAGTCATTTGAGACCTTACTTTTCACAGATTTTCAATTTACTGGAAGTCAGCTACCTGAACTTTTAATTAAATGTCTTTATTACATTTTATAGACGTTAATGTTTAAACACTTTTCACTTATTTTTTTTTTTTTTAAGATTTTATTTATTTCTTTGACAGAGAGAGCACAAGCAGGGGGAGAGGGAGAAGCAGGCTCCCCGCTGAGCAGGGAGCCCAATGTGGGGCTCGATCGCAGGACCCTGGGATCATGACCTGAGCTGAATGCAGATACTTAACCAACTGAGCCACCCAGGCGCCCCTGTTTTGTTTGATTCTTATTAATTCACTTACTTTTTGTACCTTTGGAGTAGTTAAAATTCATGTTGTTAATTATCCAGGTATAGTTTAAAGATCCCAAATTTTATAGCCAGAGACTATCTTCATACTTTTCCTGGCTTTATAAACTCAGATTGCTTATTAGGTGTTTTTTTTTCCTAAAGATACTTATTTGACAGTGAGGTAGAGACCACATGTAGGCAGAGCGGCAGGGAGAGGGGAGAAGCAAGCTTCCTGCTGAGCAGAGAGCCCGACGTGGGACTCGATCCCAGGACCCTGGGATCACGACCTGAGCCAAAGGCAGCCACTTAACCGACCGAGCCACCCAGGCGCCCCACTTGTTAGTTTTTTAATTAAAATAATAGTGATAGGGGCGCCTGGGTGGCTCAGTTGGTGAAGCGACTGCCTTCGGCTCAGGTGATGATCTGGAGTCTCAGGATCGAGTCCCCGCATCGGGCTCCCTGCTCGGCAGGGAGTCTGCTTCTCCCTCTGACCCTCCCCCCTCTCATGCTCGCTCTCTCTCATTCTCTCTCTCAAATAAAAAAATAAAAATAAATAAAAAATAAATAAAATAAAATAATAGTGATAGTTATCATATAAAACTTTTGAGGTTGAATTAGATTAGTATAGAAACCATAATGCCTGAAATGTATTGGCATTCAAATGGTATAGGTGCTGTGGTTAATTATTATCACCTCAGTTCTGTGCTTCCCCCTCCCCCCAGCAGTGAACTGATTGATCATTTTTCCCCCAATGAATCCGTGAAACAAATAATACAAACTATAAGATTATAGTGTCTCTATTGGTTACTTAAATTAAGCTTGCCTTTTTTCCTACTTTATTTATTTTTTTAAAAGATTTTATTTATTTATTTGACAGAGAGACAGTGAGAGAGGGAACACAAGCAAGGGGAGTGGGAGAGGGAGAAGCAGGCTTCCTGCTGAGCAGGGAGCCCGATGCAGGGCTCGGTCCCAAGACCCTGGGATCATGACCTGAGCTGAAGGCAGACGCTTAATGGCTGAGCCACCCACATGCCCCTAAAGACTTTATTTTTAAGTAATCTCTGCATTCAGCTTGGGGCTCAAACTTACAACCCAGTATCAAGAGTCACATGCTCCACTGACTGAGCCAGCCGGGCACCCAGCTTGCCATTTTTTCTGTGTTGACATAACATCACATTTGGGCTTTGATGAACGTAATCTCATTCCTTTTTTTTACTGAGATACAATTTATATGTAGTGAAGTAAACAGATCTTAAGTGTTTATTTCAATGAATTTTGACATACATACTTGGTATATATAATGGAAAGTGGAAAGTTTTTTCATGTCCCCATCCCCAGAAGTCAACTACAGTCTAGTTTCTTTCACATAGACTAGTTTTGCTTATTCTTGAACTTTCTATAAATGGAATCATACTGTCTCTACTCTTTTTCACTCTACATTTTTGAGATTCTATCCATGATATATCAACAGTTCATTCTTTTTTATTGCTGAGTGATATTACATTATTATATATATGCTACACTTGGTTTATCTATTCTCTGTTAGTGAACATTTGGATTGTTTTATAGTTACTCTTGAAGTGTCTGTGAAATTTTTCTGCATCTAATTATCTTATTGCCTTCATATAGATCTTCCTGTCACTTGGTGCCCTGAGGAAACAACTCTATATTTTCACATTAAGAATCCAAGTATCTATATATGTGTATATCTGCATGAAATTATTTTGATACTACATCTGTTTTTCAAATACCCAGTCTAGACTTTTTTATTCTTATTTTTCTCATTGACCTTGTTTGTCACCTTCCAATTTAAAATTCCCTTTCTGGGGGGCGCCTGGGTGGCTCAGTTGGTTAAGCGGCTGTCTTCGGCTCAGGTCATGATCCTGGAGTCCCGGGATTGAGTCCCACATTGGGCTCCCTGCTCAGCGGGTAGTCTGCTTCTCCCTCTGACCCTCCCCCCCTCATGTGCTCTCTCTCTCTCTCACACAAATAAATAAATAAAATCTTTTTTTGTTTTTTAAAGATTTTATTTATTTATTTGACAGAGAGAGACACAGCGAGAGAGGGAACACAAGCAGGGGGAGTGGGAGAGGGAGAAGCAGGCTCCCCGCAGAGCAGGGAGCCCGATGCGGGACTCGATCCCAGGACCCTGGGATCATGACCTGAGCTGAAGGCAGTCGCTTAACCAACTGAGCCACCCAGGTGCCCTAAATAAAATCTTTAAAAAAAAAAAAAATTCCCTTCCTGGGGCACCTGGGTGGCTTAGCCAGTTAAGTGTCCAGCTCTTGATTTCAGCTCAGGTTATGATCTCAAGGTCGTGGGATCGAGCCCTGTGTCAGGGTCTGTGCTCAGTGAGGAGTCTGCTTGGGATTCTCTCTCTACCTTGGTGCTCCCTCCCTCCTAAATACATGCTGGCTCTCTCTCTCTCTCTCTAAGTAAATTTTTTTTTTTTTAATACTGAGTTTGGAGTTATAGTTCTGCCTCTACCGCTGAGTCAAGGCAGGTTTTTTCCACATTGGGTTTTTTTGGAATAAAAGAAAAATGGATTAAATAGGCTTTTCTCAGAATTCTTCTTATGGAATGCCTTTCATAGTGCAGTATGTTTATGAGTGCCATATGAAAACATTCTGTGATTAATTAAGTATGGAAAACACTGGGTTAAGGCTTGATTATTAGATTTAATTATTTTTCAAGTTCTCAGAGCCTGTAACATACTATCATGTTCATGTTTCCCCAAACTTACTTGACTAGGAACCTTTTTCTAAAAAGCACAGTTTCTCCTAGGAATAGTGTTTCTCAGAAAACCAGTTTGGTGGGCTCAGTTGGTTAAGTGTCTGCCTTTGGCCCAGGTCATGATCTCAGGGTCCTGGGATCGAGCCCTGTGTCTGGCTCCCTGCTTAGGAGGGAGTTGTCTCCTCCCTCTCCCTCTGCCCCCTTCTACCCTGCTCATGTGCTCTCTCTCAAATAAATAAAATCTTAAATAATAGTTTGTAAAGATGCTTTTATTCCTATATGTTTTCTCTTAATAATTTAGTTATGGATTATTTCAGATTATTTTAAAAATTATTCTTTTTAAAATGGAAAAAGTAAAATAAATACGAAAATTCATCTACGTAAGGACAATTACAATTAATATTATATTTTCTGTTTCTTTTGTCATAGGTATTGTTCTCACTAAGGTTGGTTACTATACTATTCCATCTATGGATGACCTTGCTAAAATTACCAATGAAAAAGGAGAGTGCATTGTCTCTGACTTCACTATTGGTCGTAAAGGTGAGTATGAGCTTAGGAGTTTGTAGTATTTAAGCCAAAGATCTGCATCTTATTTTTGTAATTAAGTGAAAGAAGTTCTTGATAGCTGAATCCATTTTTTTCCTTTTTGGACCCACCTTGACCTGCATAGAAGACCCTTTGATTGACAAGTAACAAAAGACTAGAACCATATAACATTCTTTGGTAACTATTTGGCTCATTGCAGCTTTCTGCAGTTAAAGAAAATACTATAAACAGCAAGAAAATACTAAGTGAGAAAACTGAGTAATAAGAGATGAATAATATTTAGATTCAGCTTCATATTATTAATAATTTAATACAGATGCAGTTTTCTTGGGGAAAAAAAAATCTTACCTTGCTATATTGTATTTTAGAGAGGGCTCTCCAGCATTTTAGCTCATTCTCCAAGCTAGGTACTAAGTAAGGGTTGTTTATGTAGCAGTAGTACAGATACTTGGAAGAGATTTAAGAAAACTGTTTTGAAGATAAGTGCAGTAGAAATGTAGATATTAAACAAGATAACTGGCTTTGATGTCATCCTGTGATACATATTATGGACGAAATAACCCATTGATGGTATTGCTGGGTGATTTGATTAATGTTTAGGGCAGCCTGGCTGGCCTCCTTGGTGGGACATGTAACTCTTGATTTTGGGATTGTGAGTTCGAGCCCCATGTTCAATGTGTAGTGATCACTTAAAAATGAAATCTTTAAAACAATTAAAAAATATTGATTAATGTTTTAAGTTTTTTTAATTATTATTTAGTCACTGGAAAATAAAATAGATTATTTGCCCTCTGTACAGGATGAGTTTTTAACTATTTGCTTTGACTTACAGGTTATGGTTCAATCTATTTTGAAGGAGATGTGAATTTGACAAATCTAAATTTGGATGATATTGTGCATATTCGAAGGAAAGAAGTGATTGTCTACTTAGATGATAACCAGAAACCACCTGTGGGTGAAGGTCTAAATAGGTATGTATTTATTTACATATTTAGAAATTAGGGCGCCTGGCTGGCTCAGTTGGTTAAGCGACTGCCTTCGGCTCAGGTCATGATCCTGGAGTCCTGGGATCGAGTCCCGCATCGGGCTCCCTGCTCGGCAGGGAGTCTGCTTCTCCCTCTCCCACTCCCCGTTTGTGTTCCCTCTCTCGCTGTGTCTTTCTCTGTCAAATAAATAAATAAAATAATAAAATCTTTAAAAAAAAAAAAGAAATTAATCTGCTAAATCACAGAATTCTTCTCACATTATATACATTTTTCTGCAACTTGTTTTTTTGACTTACTGTACAGTACGTGATTATTGTTGTTCTAATTTGAAAGTATAAATGATAAATGCTACACTAGGACTTTTTTGACTCCTTTTCCCTAATATTATCAGGTCCAACTGTTACTTTCCAAAAATGTACTTTAATAGTACCTTTTTTCTCTTGTGTCTGCTGTGACCATTTTTAATTCTTTCTCTATATTTTAGTTTGAGAAACTAGCTTCTGGGGGCGCCTGAGTGGCTCAGTCGTTAAGCGTCTGCCTTCAGTGATCCCAGGGTCCTCAGGCTCCCTGCTCTGCGGGAGGCCTACTTCTCCCTCTCACACTCCCCCTGCTTGTGTTCCTTCTCTCACTGTCTCTCGCTCTGTCAAATAAATAAATAAAATCTTAAAAAAAAAAACTAGCTCCTAATACTTCTTTGGACAGATGAAAGGGCCATAGTTAAAGTAATTTATGTTCACAACCTACCAAGATTGAATCATGAAAAAATAGAAATTCAGAATAGCCCTATAATAAGGAAATTGAATTATAATAAACCGCCCCCAACCAAAAGCCTTTGACCAGATGACTTCAGTGGTAAATTCTACCAAACATTTATAGAATTAATGTCAGTTCTTAAACTCTTTCAAAAAACTGGAAAGGAAGGGAACACTTTCTAACTATAAGGCAAGCATTACCCTGACTCCAAAGCTAGAAAAAGAAACTACAAGAAAATAAAACTATAGACCAATATCCTTGGTGAATACTGATGTAAATATCTTCAAAATACATTTGATCCTCAAACCACAAAGGTTTGAACTGTGTGGTCCACATAAATGGGTTTTTTACAGTATGATACTATAAGTGTATTTCCTTAGAATTTTCTTAACATTTTCTTTTTTTCTAGATTACTATATTGTAAATACAGTATATAATACATTCAACTATATAATACATTCAACATACCACTATGAGTTAGTTGACTTATGTTATCAGTAAGGCTTCCAGTCAACAGTAGGCTATTAGTAGTTAAGTTTTGTGGGAGTCCAAGGTACAGAGATATTCAGCGGCACAGGGGTTGGTTCCCCTAACCCCTGTGTTGTTCAAAGGCCAACTGTATTAGCAAACAGACTTCAACAGTACATTGAAAGGATTATACACCATGGCCAAGTATTACTTATTCCAGGAACACAAGGATGGTTTAATATATGAAAATTGATAAGTGTAATACATCACATTTATAGAATTAAAGACGAAAATCACCTGTCATCTCAACTGATGCAGAAAAGCATTTGCCAAAATACAGCACCCTTTCTAGAGATAGAAGGAAACTACCTCAGGGTGCCTGATTGGCTCAGTCAGTAGAGTGCATGACTCTTGATCTCATGGTTGTAAATTCAAGCCCCACATGTTGGGTGTGGAGATTACTTAAAAATAATAATAAAATAAAAAGAAGGAAACTACCTCAACTTAATAGGGCCATATTTTCAAAAGAATGTCAGACTCAGTGGTGAAAGAATGAACGCTTTTCCTCTAAGATCAGGAATAAGACAAGGATGCCCACTTTGCCACTTTTATTCAGTATAATACTAGAAGCACTAGTCAGAGCAATTAAGCAAGGAAAAGAAATAAAAGGCATCATTCAGATTGGAATGGAAGAAGTAAAATATCTCTGTTCAGAGATGAAATGATCTTGTGCAGAAAACCTAAAGATTTCACTGAAAACAGTTATAAATTCAGCAAGGTAGCAGGATACAAAATCAACACACACAATCAGTGGGTTTTTATATACTAACAATGAGCAATCTGAAAGGGAAGTTAAAAAAAATTCCATTTTCAATAGCATCAGAAAGAATAAAATACTTAGGAATAAATTCAGCCGGGTAGGCAATAGCTGGAAGAAGTGAAAAAAGACAAATATATGGAAAGTTATCCCATGTTCATGGATTGGAAGACTTTAAATTACTAAAATGTGGGTCCCTGGGTGGCTCAGTTGGTTAAGCGACTGCCTTCGGCTCAGGTCATGATCCTGGAGTCCCTGGATCGAGTCCCGCATCGGGCTCCCTGCTCAGCGGGGAGTCGGCTTCTCCCTCTGACCCTCCCCCCTCTCATGCTCTCTCTCTCTCTCTCAAATAAATAAATAAAATCTTTAAAAAAAAAAAATAAAATAAAATAAAATAAAATAAATTACTAAAATGTCCATACTACCCAAAACAATCTACAGATTTAATGTAATCCCTATCACGATGCAATCTGCATTTTTTTGCAGAAATAGAAAAATCCATCCAGAATCTCAAGGGACCTCACATACATAGTTAAATGATTTTTGACAAGGCTATCAAGACCATACAATGGGGGAGAGGATAATCTCTTTATCAAATGATTCTGGGGAAACCTTGATATCCAGGTAGAGAAGAATGAAGTTGTATTATGTTATAGAACAATGAACTCAAAATGGACCAAGCACTAAACATAACACCTAAAACTTACAAAATTCTTAGAATAAAACATAGAGAGGGGAAGGTTCATGACATTAGAGATGTCATGAATTACAATGTAATTTTAGTTTCAGGTGTACAGTATAGTGATGCATCACTTCATACATCACTCAGTGTTCATCACAAGTGCATTCCTTAATCACTATCACCTATTTCACCCATCCCCCGACCCACCTCCCTTCTGGTAACCATCAGTTTGTCCTCTTCAGTTAAGAGTCTGTTTCTTGGTTTTCCCCTTCCCACCACCCCCCTTTGCTTGTTTGGTTTCTTAAATTCCACATATGAGTGAAATCATACAGTATTTGTCTTTCTCTGACTGACTGATATTGCTTAGCAGTATACTCTCTAGCTCCATCCATATCATTGCAAATGGTAGGATTTCATTTCTTTTTTTCTTTTTTTTTTTTTTTTTTTAAGATTTTATTCATTTATTTGACAGAGAGAGAGATAGCGAGAGCAGTAACACAAGCAGGGGGAATGGGAGAGGGAGAAGCAGGCTTCCCGCCGAGCAGGGAGCCCGATGTGGGACTCGATCCCAGGACCCCGGGATCATGACCTGAGCCGAAGGCAGACGCTTAACGACTGAGCCACCCAGGCGCCCGATTTCATTCTTTTTTATGGCTGAGTAATAATCCATAGTGTATGGGTGTGTACACCACATCATCTTTATCCATTCATCAATCAGTGGATGCTTGGGCAGTTTTCATAATTTGATTATTGTAGATAATGCTGCTGTAAACATTGGGGTCCATGTATCCCTTTGAATTAGTATTTTTGTATTCTTTGGGTAAATACCTAGTATTGTGATTGCTGAATCATAGGGTAGTTCTGTTTTTAACTTTGAGAAACCTCTGCTGTTTTCCATAGTGGCTGCACCAGTTTGCATTCCCACCAACAGTGCATGAGGTTTCCATTTTCTCCACATCCTCGCCAATACCTGTTGTTTCTTGTGTTGTTGATTTTAGCCATATTCTGACAGGTATAAGGTGATACCTCATTGTAGTTTTGATTTGCATTTGCCTGATGATCAGTGATGTTGAGCATCTTTTCACATGTCTGTTAGCCATTTGTATGTCTTCTCTGGAAAAATGTCTATTCATGTCTTCTGCCCATTCCCTAACTGGATTATTTGTTTTGGGGGGTATTAGTAAGTTCTTTATAGATTTTTGGGATGCTAACCCCTGATCAGATAGAACTTTTGCAAATACCTTCTCCCATTCCATAGGTTGCCTTTTAGTTTTGTTGATTGTTTCCTTTGTTGTGGAGAAGCTTTTTATTTTGATGTAGTCCCAATAGTTTATTTTTTATTTTGTTTCTCTTGTGTCTGGAGACATATCTAGAAAGAAGTTGCTACAGCTAATGTCAAAGAAGTTACTGCCTGTGTTCTCTTCTAGGATTTTTATGGTTTCAGTTCTCACATTTAGTTCTTTATTCTGAATTTATTTTTGTGTATGGTGTAAGTGGTCCAGTTTCATTCTTTTCCATGTAGCTATGCAGTTTTCCCAACACCATTTGTTGAAGAGACATTCTTTTTCCCATGTCATTATATTTTGATGAGGATTTCCTGGATGCAGCACTAAAAGCATAGGCAACAGTAGTAAAAGTGAACAAATTAGAGTACGTTAAAATCTAAGACATCTAAGAACACAGAATGAAAAGCCAGCCTACAGAATGGGAGAAAATATTTACAAATCATATTTCTGATAATGGGGTTAATGAAGAACTGCAGCTCAACAACAAAAATACAAAAAACCCAATTAAAAATGGGCAAAGGACTTCAGTACACATTTCTCCAGAGATAATATGCAGATGGCCAACAAGCAGATGAAAAGACAATCGTGGCACCTGGGTGGCTCAGTCATTTAAGTGGCCAACTCTTTGTTTTGGCTCAGGTCATGATCAGGATCCCTGGGATCAAGCCCCCAGCTGTCTCCGCACTAAGCAGGAAGTCTGCTTGTGATAGTCTCTCTCCCATTGTCCCTCCCCTCGCTGGTGCTCGTTCTCTCTTTCTCTTTCTCTCTCAAGTAAATCTTCAAAAAGAGAGAGAGAGAAAAGATACTCAACATCACTAATAATTAGGGAAATGCAAATCAAAACCACAGTGAGCTATCACACCCATTAGAATGGTTACTGAATTTCAAAAAGGAAAAAAGTTTTTGCAAGACTGTGGGGAAATTGGAACCTTTGTATATATTGTTGGTGGGAATGTAAAATGATGCAGTTACTATGGAAAAGAGTATGGTGATTCCTCAGGAAATTAAAAATGATCCATCATTCCAAAAGAATAGAAAGCAGGGGATATATATCGATATCTGTATATATAGATATATATCCTGGGTATATATCCAAAGGAATTGGAAGCAGGGTCTCAAAGAAATATGTACACACCACTGTTCATAATAGCCAAGAGGGAGAAGCAACCCAGATATCTATCCATTGACAGATGAATGGATAAACAAAATATGTTTTTATATGCAGTGGAATATTATGTAGCCTTAAAAAGGAAGTCCTGACTAGCAACGCATGGGTGAACCTTGAGGACATGCTAAGTGAAATAAGCTAATCATAAAAAGTCAAATACTATATGATTCCACTTATTTAAGGCCTTTTGTGGAGTCAGATTCACAGAAACAAACAGAATAGTGGTTGCCAGTGGCAGGAAGTTGGGGAGTTGTTTTTGTTTTTGTTTTTGTTTTTATTTATTTGAGAGAGAGAGAATGAGAGACAGAGAGCAGGAGAGGGAGGAGGGTCAGAGGGAGAAGCAGACTCCCCGCTGAGCAGGGAGCCCGATGCGGGACTCGATCCCGGGACTCCAGGATCATGACCTGAGCCGAAGGCAGTTGCTTAACCAACTGAGCCACCCAGGCGCCCGGGGAGTTGTTTTTTTAATGGGTATAGAGTTTTAATTTTGGAAAGATGAGTAAGTTTTGGAGGTTGGTTGTACAACAGTGTGAACATATTTAACACTACTGAATGGTATAGTTAGAAGTGGTTAAGATGGTAAGTTTTCTGGTATACCTTTTATCACAATAAAAAAATAATGTTTAAAAAAGTCACTATTAGGGACGCCTGGGTGGCTCAGACAGTTAAGCATCTGCCTTCGGCTCAGGTCATGGTGCCAGGGTCCCAGGATGGGAGTCTGCTTCTCCCTTTCCCTCTGCCCCTCCCCCTCTGCTCATGCTCTCTCACTTTCTCACAAATAAATAAAATCTTAAAAAAAAAAAAAAGTCACTGTTAAACGTTGTGTTTTAATTATAGTCAGTCTTTTTTTTAAAAGTGACCTAGGGGCACCTGGCTGACTCAGTTGGTGGATCATGTGACTCTTGATCTTGGGATCATTAGTTCAAGCCCCACATTGGGGATAGAGATTACTTAATAAATAAAAGTTAGGGGGGCGCCTGGGTGGCTCAGTTGGCTAAGTGACTGCCTTCGGCTCAGGTCATGATCCTGGAGTCCCAGGATCGAGTCCCACATCGGGCTCCCTGCTCAGCAGGGAGTCTGCTGCTCCCTTGACCCTCCCCCCTCCCATGTGCTCTCTCTCTCTCTCATTCTCGCTCTCTCAAATAAATAAATAAAATCTTAAAAATAAATAAATAAAAGTTAGGAAAAAAGTCATCTATTACTAAGTGCTAATCACTCTACTAGGTGCAAGGCATATAGAATGAATAGATTACCGTCCTTGATCTCACATATTGATATTAGAAGGTGTACATTACTGCTGTTATAGTCATCTTCACACTCATTACTTTTACTTAATGGTTAATATTATGGTGTTCCTGATGTCTCATTCTGCAAGCATTTGTTATTAATCAGTGGTAGTTGCTGCTTTATTAATGTTTTTAAGTACAGTAGCGCTTTAAGACCTTCACTAAGACTTAGGTTTTAGTATTTGACTATTAGGACTGGATTTGGTCAAGGCTGCATAGTGTAAGTGTTAACTAAAATTTCATTGGAAATAATTGATGTGGTATGGTAGTTCAAAATGAATGGAGTTTGACTCTTGAACCAGATATTGAGCTAGTTGATGGTGGGGGTAATTCCTTGCTTTTGAGCTTATCTACCCTGGGAAGCAAGAGTCAAGTTTATGAAATATCTGCAAATTCCAAAGTAACACAGGTACCTTTATTTGCTATTTATATAGATGCTACTTGGGTGTCTGGTCTTAAATATGGAACATTTATACTTTATGTGGTTGTACATTGCAGGAAGGCTGAAGTTACACTGGATGGAGTTTGGCCAACAGATAAAACATCTCGTTGTTTAATAAAGAGCCCAGATCGACTTGCTGATATCAACTATGAGGGCAGATTGGAAGCAGTTTCAAGGAAACAGGGAGCTCAATTCAAAGAGTACCGTCCTGAAACGGGTTCTTGGGTGTTTAAGGTATAATAGTCACTTAACCTAGTTCTTAAAAATTGTGGTTAGAGTGACAAAATGTGTTATAAGTGGTCCTCTCTTAAATTTTTTTTTTTTTTTTTTACAAATTAGGAAACAGATACAGAGATGCATCATGATTTGCTCCAGATTTTTTTTTTTTTTTAAGATTTTATTTATTTATATGACAGCACACAGCAGGGGGAACAGCAGAGGGAGAGGGAGAAGCAGGTTCCCTGTGGAGCAAGGAGCCCCATGTGGGGCTTGATCCCAGGACCCTGGGATCATGACCTGAGCTGAAGGCAGCCACTTAACTGACTGAGCCACCCCAGAACAATAATACGCTATTAAAAACTTTATGCTCATGATTCACATCCTCTACCTCATCCTATGAGCATTTAGATACACTTCTAAGGAGTGTTTTTTCAATGTGTGGCATCATTAGAGGCATGAGGCAGAATTTGTCTCTTGATATTAACTCTTCCTCAGTTGTCATTCATTTAAAGATTTCTGGGGATGGAGATGTTGACTTCCTTCCTTGATAGTTTAACCTAATGGTTTCTTTCTCTTCTAAGCCACTTGGATTATTTAACTAGTTGAAGGCCCGACACAAGTTAATAGCGAAAAACTAGGCAGGATATAGATGTGAAAATAGTAATGACTTTTCTAGATTTGGTTTCCTATATTAATAAGTTAGTATTTGTATATAAGCAACTTGTACGAAACATCAAATCTAAGGGTAGCAGTAAATTACATGTGATAGATGACATATCATTCTGCCTTAAATATTTTGATAGTTCTCTCTTTTTTTTAAAGCTAATTCTGCATGATTGCAAGGGCAAGTATTATGGAAGCTTTTAGGAATATAAGTGTTAAAATTGATTTTGTTGGATCTGGGATGCCTGGCTGGCTCAGTTGGTAGAGCATGCAACTCTTGATCTCAGGGTTGTAAGTTTGAGGCCCACATTGGGTGTAGAGTTTACTTAAAAATAAAATCTTAAAAAAAAATTGATTTTGTTGTATTCTTCTTTTCCTTAGGTCTCCCATTTTTCTAAGTATGGCCTTCAGGATTCTGATGAAGAGGAGGAGGAACGGCCATCTAAAACTAGTACAAAGAAGTTGAAGACTGCCCCTTTGCCTCCTGCAGGCCAGGCCACCCCATTCCAGATGGCTCTAAATGGCAAGCCAGCACCTCCACCCCAGGTAGAGACAGGACAGTGAATTTGAATGGAATCCATGATACAGAAGTTGAAAGGAAGTCATTCAGCTAGTACAAAGCTGTTTATGACCCCTGGAACTTTGAAGAGTACAAATGTATTGGCAATCACGTTGAGACAAGTACCAGGGAGGGCATGAGGTGGTCCTGGCATCTGTTCTTAAATTGAGAGATTTAAAGAATTCTCATGCTGTTTGGATCATTCCTTCTACAGATTGTCATTCTTAAACACCTCCCTCTCTTTCATTTGGACTTGCTGAATTCTCTGCTCAGTGATCAACTTAAGATAGCATTTTGTTTGTGTGGGTTGATACAAAGTAAATCTTATTTTCCTTGACTACCTGATGTGCAGTTTAATCTTGTTCTTTACCTCCGTGGTTTTTTAAAAGTTCAGTTAGCTTTCTGCAAGGGCTTTTTAACTCCCATTTTCTCAAGTTGTTTGCTTATACTTCAGGTAACCTCTTGATATTTGTATTTTAACAATACATAATCTTTCTGAAAATAGATCAGGTCTTAGAATATAAATGAATTATTTGGTGTGGGGAAAGAGGGGCTGTATTGTTTATTGCAATTACTTGTGTCATACTCTTTCAGTATTGTTAAGCCAGTATAAACCTTTTGTCCATGTAGGGAAAGGTTTGCAATTTAAATATCAGGTAGTTTCTTTGCGAACTCAAAGAGTTTTACTTTCCTTTGGATGTTGTTTATATTCAATCAAGTTACAAAAAGTTTTTTTCTTTGCTGCCATACTCCCTCAAAGAAGAGAACTTAACACCGAATTTCTTTGTAAAGCATCCTCTACCTCTCAGCTGCTAAAAGCAGGACCTTTGGAATTTTTTGTGCTACAATTCTTATGGCTGCTGAAATGTGCGATTTTTATGATTTATTAAATAATTTCTTGGGAGGCATTTTCTGGAGATTGTTGTGTATGTATGTTCATATTTGCGCGTACAAGGTGAGGGAGGGCATGATAAAAGTGGGAACTGGGATATACATTGACTTCTATGTTCATAATCTTTATAGCACAAAACCCCTAAGAAATCTAAACTAAAGAAATGCTGTAAATGGATTTGGTTTTCCATGTTTTTTTTTTTTTCCTGAATCATATACTTTGTATAATCCCTTTCTCTACAAATGTTTTTTGATCTTTATATTATGTGTATTTCCTGGGATAAGAGTCAGATAGCCTTCATTTTTGCTAATAAAAGTAATTGTTAGATCCTAAAGATGCAGCTGTGAAAGAAAAGCTTCATCTGTGGATAGAGCAAATTTATGTAATATGTCTTGACAATCAGTGATTTTTTTTTTTAGGCTATTTAATTTCCAGAATACAGATAGTAAGGGATAACTATACATTTCTGTGATGACACTTGAGTAGGTGAGAACTTTAAAAAACTTTTTGAAGAGCACCAGAAAATTTCAGAAGAACCAGGTTTTAGGAAGAAGAGATGTGGTAAGGATCAAAATGGGCAAAGAGAATACAGTGAGTGGGATCTTTTTCAGATACATCCTTTGATTTAAGAAGCGGGTGGTCTTTGGCTGGGGAAAGCAGAAATGGGAGAAATGGGTTAGTTGTTTAGGTATTAGCCTAACATATTAGAACAGTAATGAAGGACTCTTCCTTCATATTGCCCAGTGACCTGAGTGAGACAGGTAGGAAATGCTAATGGTTGCATAGTTTTAGTTATTAGCACCAAAGACCTACATTTTACTTGGCATGAGGAAAATACTTGAGCCATCAGAATGAACTAGGAACAGACAGCAGTCTTTTCATCTTAGTGTCAAGATGACTATCTTCACATTGTCACCTGGCCCCCTGGGGAGCTTGATTTTGGAACACGGTGTTCCTTCAGTCTGCTCTAGCATTTTTTTTTTCCTGTGCACAATCTCAGGTTCTCAGAGTTGAGAGTTGAGAGTTTTTTAGGTATTAGGAAGATTTGTATTTTTGTTTAACGGTGCTTTATCACATTGCCTTTTATGTAATATCTTCATTCCCTCTGTAGTTTGTTCTTAAGATTTGATTTGCCCCTAAAGAGGTAAATCTAAGAAAACAGAAAACATTAATGTAACTAAATCTTCACATAATCTCTTCTATGCCGTTTAAGTTAGAGAAAATGTTGGCAGAAAAACCTTCATCACACCAGTGAATCAGGGCAGTTGCAGAAACATTTGGTAGTTAGAACATTATTTCCAAAATGCTGATCTGAGATCCAGTTTTCAGCTGACTGCAACACTACTATGGTGACCTTTGATTCCATAGATACAGCATCGGGCTCAGGCATATTTATATTTTAAATGCTTTCGCCCGGGTGATTGAAATACCCAGCCAGGCTTCAGAACCACTTGAAAGACCTCAGATGGCATTCAGGCAGAGAGACCTTTCTATAGCTTTTTACCTCCACCTCTTAGTGAACTGTAACTTGTGTTCAGTATCACTGAGACAGACTAGTTGGCTTGCTCAGAAACTTATCATCACTAGGTGAGTACATTCAAATGAGTTAGAGATTTTTTTTAAAGGAAAAAAGTGGTTAGGATTTAGGGGCGCCTGGGTGGCTCAGTCATTAAGCGTCTGCCTTCGGCTCAGGTCATGATCCCAGGGTCCTGGGATCGAGCCCCGCATCGGGCTCCCTCCTCCGCGGGAAGCCTGCTTCTCCCTCTCCCACTCCCCCTGCTTGTGTTCCCTCTCTTGCTGTCTCGCTCTCTCTGTCAAATAAATAAAAAAAAATCTTTAAATAAATAAATAAAAGTAAAAACAGTAGCCATCTAAGATTATTCAGTAAGTCTATATATATGTTGAATATATAGTTTGTATTTTTATGTAATTAAAATATATTACATATATATAAAATGTATACTATAGGCCTTTTTGCTTCAGATATTAATGTTGCAATGTCCTATACTTCTTGTAATATCCCTGAATGTATGTGTAGAAACATACACACTTACTTTGATGGGTCCTTGAAACCCTGAGATGAACTTTCTCCGGAGAACACAGTAATGTTGACAGGGCTAATTTTCTAGCCCAATGAATATAAAACATTCTTTATAGTTAGAAAACAAGTTACTTTGGAAGCAGACAACAGTAATAGTTATACTGGATTAAATTATTTTAGAGGGAATAACAGTATGAATTATTTAAATACCTGTTTGACCGTGGATTGGTTGCTCACCCTTTGTTGAATAAAGGTGTCATGATTTACTTTACCTACTTGAATTACTTTATGTACTAGATTAAGAGATGCTTCATCTTTAGGGTATTGGCAGCTTTGTTTGTATGAGGAAGATTCTCTTGAGATGGAAAGTGAAGGTTTCTAAAATCATTGAAGGTTTCACTCATGAAACCTCACCCTCCTATATATGAAGAGACAGTCATTTTACAGATATTATATATGTACTTAGGATTTGTAATGTACTGTGCTGGTTTTAAACATAAATAAGATCTACTTTTTTTTTTTTTTAAGATTTTATTTATTTGAGAGAGAATGAGATATAGAGCATGAAAGGGGGGAGGGTCAGAGGGAGAAGCAGACTCCCCGCTGAGCAGGAAGCCCAATGCGGGACTCTATCCAGGGACTCCAGGATCATGACCCGAGCCGAAGGCAGTCCCTCAACCAACTGAGCCACCCAGGCGCCCAAATAAGATCTACTTTCAAGAGATCATAGTATATGAAAGGGATATTCTGTTTAGCTGTTTTTCTGAGTATTTGCCTTACTTTTCCATAGATTTCCCAAGGGTTTCCTTTTTTTTTTTTAAACTTCCTCCATTCCTTCTGAGCCATCTTTCTATTAATATTATTATTGTTATTGTTAGTCTATTTTTCTTTCCAGGACTGGCTTTGAAGGAGCACCTGATCTCCCAAGATTTCTCTGAAAATAAGTACACAGACATCTTTTGGGGGAGTTTATTGCAATTGCTTAGATATACTTTAACAAAATTCACTAATGGGGATCTTAGGAGCCTACCAGCTCCTCATAGTTTCATAGTCATTCACTTCCCCCTTATCCACTTATTACATGAGACTTCATAACTTTAAAGTCTGTGCATGAGGGTAGAGCGAATAAAACCTTGATCCCTACCTAGCACCCTTCTTAAAAATATGCTGGGTCCACTGGGTCTGTACTTGAGTTGTTTAAGGCAAAATGGGAGGATTTCATCTAAATGTTCTAAGTGAACATCTCTTGCTGCTGTTATTTCTTTGTTGAGTAGTGTAAGTTGAAACCATCCTCCCCTTTTTTCCTTTCCTTTCACCCATCCTCACTCCTTGTTCTTTCATATTAATTGCCCTCTTGTGTGTGTGCCAGGCACTACACTAGGCAATAGAATTGATGAAGAAAATGTCTGATGAATGTTAACTTTAACAATGTGCTTGGTGGTAGATACAGAGAATAGTAGGTTATAATGTTTTCAAGCCTTGACAATGTGGTGGGACATATACATACTGCATATGCAAGAAATCACAATATATCATGATGAATCTTAAAAAACAGGTTTAGACAGGGTGTAATAGGAGCCCAACAGAGGGAGGGTATCCAAACTGATAGGTTGACACAGAGGATATGGAGCAGTTTAATAACTTTTCCTAGAAGTGAATTGGTTAAAAACTAACTTATGAGGGAACTTTTGGAGTTAGTGTTCCCGTAATTCTTGTAATTAAAATGGGAGCATTGTGACCACAGCTACTTATTATTTTATTTTTTTCCAGAATTAGAGAGCATAAGGGTAGCCTCTTCAATAGGTAAAAAATAGTATCATGTTTGCCTTTCACCATTATTTGGCCTTCAGTTTTGTTGCAGTTGTCCTTGGGGATTTTTCTTGTCTTAAGGGGCAATTTATTATGTATCCAACAGCTCAATTTTTCTATATTTACAAATGGGAGGAGTATTAATATCTTACTGAATGGTATCTTTTAGTAAGAATATTTGTTAAAGGAATGCAAGGGAATAATAGCTAATATACCATTAAAAATAAAGTTGGAAAAGTTACACTAATGGATGTTTCTTCGCCCAAAGTAATCATGAAATTATTTTTAAAACTACCTGTTACATAATAGCATCCATTTGAGGGTCAGCATGAAATAGGCCACTTAGGAAGATAAGCCCCAAACTTTGGAAGATTAATAATCTACAGATGATACCATGATAAGAAAAATAAGTAAAACTTTCTGATTTTGAGAATGTTTCATAAATTAGTTTAGCCACTTTTTAGCATTTTACCAGGTAATATGCAAGTTTAGGACATACTTAATGAATTTGTAATGAACCAGTTACTTTACAGTGTGCTTCAGGTTGATGATACCTCATAACTTTATTATGAGGTATCATAATATTACCTTTTCAAATCATAAACTGTTACGCATGGGTATATCTTGAAAACTGCTTAATAAATGTAAAGCCAGGGGCACCTGGGTGGCCCAGTCGTTAAGCGTCTGCCTTCGGCTCAGGTCGTGATCCCAGGGTCCTGGCTCAGGTCGTGATCCCAGGGTCCTGGGATCGAGCCCCGCATCGGGCTCCCTGCTCTGCAGGAAGCCTGCTTCTCCCTCTCCCGCTCCCCCTGCTTGTGTTCCCTCACTCGCTATCTCTCTCTCTGTCAAATAAATAAATAAAATCTTGAAAAAAAAAAATGTAAAGCCAACTCTTGGCACTTGAACATAAAGGAATTATTCCTAGATTAAAATTGTTCCTAGGGAACACCTGTTTGGCTCAATCAGTAAAGCCTGCAACTCTTGATCTCAGGGTCATGAGTTCAAGCCCCATGTTGGGTGTGGAGCTTATTTAAAAAAAAAAAATTTTTTTTGTCTCTAGTATTACTTTGTTTTTCCTTTTCGAAATTAGACATTCCTCATATCTTACATGATACTGCACATGTAGAGCCCAGCTAGCCTTTAGGATTCAGTCACCCAAAAGATAAATTCCAGGCCCCAAATTGTTAACTGGAAATTTATTTCTAATTGTTTTTGTTTAAAAGAAATGCAAAGTTACTGGAGACTTTGGTATTTGTACCTTTTATTCTCTTTTCCCAATGGCTTCTGGCTACAAGACAGTGTGAGGGGACAGGGTCACGCTGTGTATATCAGGAAATTATATTTGCTAGTTAAATCAGGTAAGGCATTATCTTTGTCTGAAGACCACCATTTGTTCAGTATGGGGCTTAGGTTCCAGACACCAGACCTTAAGATACTACCAAAGGGTGATTTCATGAATCTGTATTTGGACCCCAATTACATATAGGGGGTATTTGGGGTAATTATTGTTAAACCCTTTTTAACAAATATGCTACCTCATAGAATTGGCAGAATCTAGTATTGCTGTATCATATTCTGAAAACTATGGTCTAAAAGCTCTGTGTCTATTTGGTGTAATTTAATGCTGCTTCCCTGATCTTTCTGCTATCTACAGAGCCAGAGTCCAGAGGTGGAGCAGTTAGGGAGGGTTGTGGAACTGGACAGTGACATGGTAGATATCACCCAGGAGCCAGTTTTGGATTCCATGTTAGAAGAGAGCGTGCCTGAGGATCAGGAACCTGTGTCTGCCTCAACACACATTGCATCTTCACTGGGAATTAATCCACATGTCTTACAGGTGAAGTCCTAACCCACCCTTACTATAATAGGAAGCCAAACTAATCTTTATCTCCCTTTCATAACCTTGGGCTTCTTCCTTGATTATTCCCTGAAGAGCATTGAGTGGTCATTGGGGTGAGGAAAAAAACAAGAATATGGCCCATATTCTGGGAGGGAAGGGGAAGGCTATATTGAGATTCATTAGACCTGGATTCTAATCCTGGTTTTATAACTATTACTGTGTGACTTTAGGAAAGTCGTTTAACATCTGTGAGCAGATTTTTCTCTATAAAATATACTTTGTTTCCTTCATAGGGTGGTTTTGAGGCTCTAGAAAAGTGCTCCATAAAAGTTTTTTAATAGCCTAGTAGATACAGGTTTCTTTAAACTCTGTCTCAACTTCCCCCTACCTATGCCTTTTGGCATGTCATAAGTTGAGCCTTTGTCTTATTATTTGGAGTTAATCATTCAGCAAACAGGTGAGCAGTTGCTGTGTGCCACGTTTTGGCGAGACTCGTCTAAAGAGTATTCTATAATTTCTACCCTTCGGGCACATGCAGTGTAATAGAGTCAGCCACACAGATATTATACTAGCTCTGGACACAGCCTTCAGACAAAGCGATTTATTGGTTATTGGAAACTGCATTTTTCTTTTATGGCCTTTGGATTTGGGGGAGCACATTCATTCTGTAGATATTGCCTTTTTAGATCATGAAAGCATCATTGCTTGCTGATGAAGAAGATGTAGATATGGTTCTGGATCAACGCTTCAATCATCTTCCTTCTAAAGCAGATACTTCTCAAGAAATCTGTTCTCCCAGACTCCCCATTTCAGCATCCCACTCATCAAAATCCCGTTCTTTAGGTACTGTAACTGATGCTATTTTATGAGAAAGCTGTTAAGTCCTGCTTTTCGCCTTTTAAGATGAGTCAACTTCTCTAGCGAATATCCCCCTAAAGGCATATGACATAAGGATGCCAAGAGGAAATGTACTCTTATAAATATGTTAGGTGGGCCAGTTTTTAAAAACCACAGTCAGCTTTATTGGTGCAGATGCAGAAGTTGTATGGAGAACAAAGCATTTGTGTTTTGTTCAGGTTATGTTTTTATTTGCTTGTAAATGGATTAGATAGTAAGCTCAGATTTTCTAATTTTTATCACACCTTAGAGGAATGAGCGAGTTGTCCTGCACTGTACTCTTTTTGTGCAATCCTCATGCTATCCTTATTTTATAGCCTTCTGGGGGCAAATGTTGCTTCTTAAAACGCACAGAACTTGTCAGATTTCTGCCTTTTCCTAAACCTCCTCAAATTCTTAGGGAAGTAATATTTGATTTTAAAGCTTTCCCTTTTTTCTTGTGGGCTTGTAACTGTGTGGGATTAGGGATAGAGTATTGATGTCAACAAATCTCAAAACAAAGCCAGAGGAACTATCAGGAAGAGATTTGTTTATGTTGCCTTAAAAACTAAGTGTTTCGTTTTCAATTCTTTCAGGTGCCCTTATTAACTTCCTTTTAAAAAATATTTTAACTAGGGCGCCTGGGTGGCTCAGTTGGTTAAGCGACTGCCTTTGGCTCAGGTCATGATCCCAGATTCCTGGGATCGAGTCCCGCATCAGGCTCTGGGCTCGGCGGGGAGCCTGCTTCTCCCTCTGACCCTATCCCCTCTCATGCTGTTTCTCTCTCTCTCTCTCAAATAAATAAATAAATAAAATCTTTAAAATATATATATTTTAACTAATAAACCATCAATTAAACATTCACTACAACCTTTTCCATAATGAGCACTACATGAAAATCTCATACTTCAGTAACTGACTCCTTGTTTTAAACAGAATTAGAAAACAGGCAATAGTAATAAGAACTGTCTTTCTGAAGGGTGCAAGATGCCACAGTGGGTTTTTGTTTCATTGAGTCTAGCATTGATCATTAGAGTGGTAGCAATTTGAATTTTGATCTTACTAAGTTTTTTCTGTGGACTAAGAAACGGTTACATTTAGCATTCTGATAAGGGCATGAACATTGGTGTCAGACTTCCCTGGGCTTATCTCTCAATCCTGCCACTTAGTAGCTTTGTGGATTTGTACTGAACACTTTTCTGAGCCCACTTTTCCCACCTATAAAATGAGGGTAAAAGTGTTGTTCATCTGAAGTTATTGAAGGGTGAAATGAAACAGTGTATACAAATGGCTTATACAGAATCACAGTTAAGAGCTTAATAATTTTTTAAAACAGTAGTGGCAGTGTTTGTTATTAATGTTAATATTGTTGTTGGCATCATCATCACTAAAATTCCTGCCTTGATTTCCTGGTTGAAAGAATATTCCACAGACTCTGACTTGCTTCTTGGCATCTATATCTGATTTAATTGGTTTGGTAAAACTCTAATTTCAGCCTCACTGATTATTGTTGTTCAAGAAGCAATAGAGACTGTATTTTCTAATAGTCTTTTTTTCCCCTATTTCAGTTGGTGGGTTACTACAATCAAAGTTTACTAGTGGAACTTTTCTTTCACCAAGTGCCTCTGTACAAGAATGTCGTACTCCCAGAGCAGCATCTTTGATGACTATCCCATCCACATCTCCTTGGTCTGTCCCTCCACCCCTGACCTCTGTGTTTACAGTGCCCAGCCCAGCCCCTGAAGTTCAGTTGAAAACTGTGGGTACACGCAGACAACCAGGCCTAGTCCCTCTTGAAAAGTCTGTCACCTATGGCAAGGGGAAACTCTTGATGGACATGGCCCTATTTATGGGACGCTCATTTCGAGTTGGTTGGGGCCCCAACTGGACTCTTGCTAATAGTGGAGAACAGCTGAGTGGCTCTCATGAACTGGAAAATCATCAGATTGCCGATTCTATGGAATATGGATTCCTGCCTAATCCAGTAGCTGTTAAATCGTGAGTCACAATTTCCTTATGCTTTTTGAGAAAGACAACTTGGTAGGTAAGAAAAACCTTTTCATTGTCAGGAGACCCAAAGTCAAGGCCCTGCTTTGTGATCTTTCTAGAAATGTTTTTAGTACAACTTTAGACAGCAGAAGATCTTTGTATAATTAAAAACTAAACTGATTAATAAGATAACTCCATTTGTATCATCAAGGTGTGAAGAGTATATAATACTTAATGGTTAAACTTTATTTGGAAATGTAACAGACTCAAAGCTGATGGTTTTTTTTTTTTTCATCCTTTTTATTACATTAGTCTTTTTTTCCTATTTTCTCACTTAGATATTTATGTTTTTTTCATATATAAGGTATATTCTCAAATAAGCACATTTCCTGTATTTTGGGCCTTGTAAGGTGAATGTATAAATTGTGTATAATCCATGCATAAAATATTTGGAAGTAAGATGACATCTGATAGGGGCTCCTGGCTGGCTCAGTCAGTAGAGCATATGCTTGATCTTAGCTTTGTGAGTTCAGGCCCCACATTGGGTGTAGAGCTTACTTTAAAAAAAAAGAAAAAGATGACATCTGGTAACTGTATTATGTTACATATTACTACATAATCCCCACCGTTAACATTTATATGTGTGTGCTTACAGTTCTATATACTTTGTATATGTGTATATGTATGAGTGTGCATGTGTGTGTGTATATATGTATATCTCAGGCAGATGATATATGTATAGTTCCTGGTAGTTATTAGTATGCATACAGTTTTTTTTGTGCAAAATATATAACATTTTCCTATTTACTTTGTATAACACATTGTGCTATCTTTATTACAGATTAAATGACTGTGATTACCTGTTATGCTTAGTTTTTAAAGTTGATTTTGAAGAAATACAAAACAACAGCATCTCTTGAACCTCACAATTAGTAATGTTGATCCTAAACCTAGTTTATGCATGACATCATATTTTGAAAGTTGTTAAAATCAAATCAAGGCCAGATTGATTATATACTCGTCTTAATTTAGAGTCAGTTCTACAGTATTTATGAGCTTAGCCTCATGACTTTGATACCTTACTAAGTGTAATTTGAGAAATCAGTATCCCACAGTGGCTTTTGGCCCTTGGATTTCATAGTATCTAGATACGTGTTGAAGCCAGTTCCAAGTCGAATTGTATTGATTCGCATGCTTGTTATAACCTGGCTTTAAGAAGCCTTTGGATTCTGAATGCGTGGGCCAGGTAATTTGTTTACTTATTATATAGCAAATAAGTTGATTATAGTTTGACATTAAGAAACACAATTTCTGGGGCGCCTGGGTGGCTCAGTTGGTTAAGCGACTGCCTTCGGCTCAGGTCATGATCCTGGAGTCCCTGGATCGAGTCCCACATCAGGCTCCCTGCTCGGCAGGGAGCCTGCTTCTGCCTCTGACCCTCCCCCCTCTCATGTGCTCTCTCTCTCTCTCTCATTCTCTCTGGCTCAAATAAATAAATAAAATCTTTAAAAAAAAAAAAAAAAAAGAAACACAATTTCTGTAAAAACAGGGAAATGTTTGTCATTCCCTTTGTAACCATAAAAAGAAACAAAGGTTTGTAGGAAAATTCTAGCATCTGTCTTATCTTCATTTTCTGTCTTGTTTGTCATTTGCCCTTGTAGCCTTACTGAGTCTCCATTCAAAGTTCATTTGGAAAAACTCAGTTTGAGACAAAAGAAGCCAGATGAAGACCTGCAATTATACCAGATACCTCTGGAGCTCAAATTAAAACATAGCACTGTCCATGTGGATGAGCTGTGTCCTCTCATTGTCCCTAATCCAGGAGTTGCTGTCATTCATGACTATGCAAATTGGGTTAAGAAAGCATCAGGACACTTTCTGGAAGCACAAAGTGAGTATGGACTGTTTTCTATTCTAACCTTTGATGTTTCAGGAACTGCCATAGAAGCATGTGTTCATAGGAGGACAAGTTTCTTTAAGCCAATGTAGTGAGCAGATGCCTGAGCTCACACTTTTCTGCAGTTGAGTTGGAATGAGCAAAATCTCAAGGAAGGAGAAATGATAACATTTTTGCAATTACTCGTATGGCTTTTAACATACAAGTCCTTGTTTATAGGAACTATAGCCAAATTCCTTGGATTTTTGAAATTGCGTTCCTTCTTCCACCCAGAGAACATAGGGAGAAAAAGCCATTCCTTCTTGCTTTTCTAAATCCTACCCATTCTTCCATGTCCAGCTTAAGTACCACTTGGTTTTCCCAACAATTTAATGTTCATAACTTCCCTTCCTAACCTCTCCATTACCTTTCTATTACCATTGTGACCATGGTTTTCTAAACCAATACTTTGATAAAGGGCTTTTCTAATTTGGGAATTTACTATTTCAAATCGTAGAAAAATTATATTTTACCTTTCATAATATTTCACCATTATTGAAGAATGGCCACTCTTTTATTTTATTTTATCATTATTATTATTATTTTTTAAGATTTTATTTATTTATTTGAGAGAGAGAGAGCACATGAGAGGGGGGAGGGTCAGAGGGAGAAGGAGACTCCTGCTGAGCAGGGAGCCCGATGTGGGACTCGATCCAGGGACTCCAGGATCATGACCTGAGCCAAAGGCAGTTGCCTAACCAATTGAGCCACCCAGGCGCCCAAAGAATGGCCACTCTTTTAAACTGTTCCATGCCACACATTTTGAGAATTGTATATATTCATTTCTTTGTGTTTGCTTCAGTTGTCTAATCTTCTTTTCAAGCATGTGTGTCATCTTCCCAATGTATACTTGTATTTGGCTTAGTGGTAAGCAGTGCTTCCATTTTGTTTTCCTTCCTGAGGAGCAATATGAATAGTAGTTAAGAACGTAGAGTAGGACTCAGATTACTTGGTTTCAAATCTTGGCTCTGCTACATGTTGCCTGTAACTTTGAGCAAGTTACTTAATGCTCTGTACTTCAGTTTCCTCATCTGTAAAATGAAGATGGTAACTCCTGTATAGTTACCTCGTGTAGTTTAGAGTTGGCTTTACTCTTAAGTGCTTTCAGCAGTGTCATTTAGGCTCATTAAATGTTAGGCCATGCCTACTACAGGAGAGAAGACTCCCTCACAAGTTTTTAGAGCACTTAATATTTCTTAAAGCATTTTGCAAACAGAATTTAATCAAATTGGAAGACTTTTCTCTGTCATTTGAGATTATATTAGCCATAATGCAGCTATAAGAACCTGTTTAAAGGAGCATAGGGCTAACATTTGTTACATAAGTACCACAGGAATATGGAATGAACAAGCAGTTATACTACACACCTCTGGAACTTGTAAGACACAGCAGAGTGAGCTGGAGACAGAGTAAGGGAAATCAGCTTGAGTGGTTGTTTGGGGTATTTATTAATTTATGTATTTTAATGCACAGTTAGAATGATGTCCTCTTTGTAGGTACTTTGACTTCATGTCATAGCATTGTTTTCCTGTCCCTTCTTTAGTTGTGAAGCACTGGAGCCTAACATGGACATTATGTGAAGCCTTATGGGGCCACCTGAAGGAGCCTGACAGCCAGCTGGATGAGCCTAGTGAATACATTCAGATTCTGGAGCGAAGAAGAACTTTTTCTCGCTGGCTATCCCAAACTGCTGCACTTCAAATTGAGGAGGAAGTCTCCTTAACCAGAAAAGACAGGCCCGTGGAGGCTGTCTTCAGCTACCTCACGGGCAAGAGGATCAGTGAAGCCTGCTCTCTGGCCCAGCAGTCAGGTAGGGCATATGGTCCTTCTCTGCACCTTTATCTACATCCTACTCACCAGTGGTCCCTACCCCTTAACTATAGATTTGCCTTTGTCTTCTAACCTGAAGTAAGTATAAACTTCCCAGGAAGATTGCTGGTTCCTCCAGAATAGGGACTGTGTTTTCTAGTTTTCTCTTTAGAACCGTAAGCATTAAGTTTATTTAATTAAAATTATTTTAATTTTGTATGCTACATATGCATTTGTAGTAAAACTAGAAGGTACAGATAAGCAAAAAGCAATAAACCCAAATCACATAAATCCTTTAGTATTTACTATATACATTTCAATGTACAGCTTGTACCTGGACTGTTTACTTTGTAATATATAAGGTATATTAAAATTTGTGTACACAAAGCAACATATGCGTGTAAACTTTTCAAAGATGGTACCCTGCTACATATATATGTATATGTAGTGTTCTTTTCATGTTCTCTAATACAGATATTATAGTCAAATGCTTTTCAGTATTCTTTTATCTACAAATGTTACCATGTTAGCGAATTCCTTTTTTGATATTTAGGCTTTTTTTCCTCCCACTATAAGCAGTACTCTGAACCTTTTAAACATAGGTTTTTTGCATTATGTAAATTTAATTTCCGGGTTGAGATATTTACTTTTTTTTTTTTTTTTTAAGGACTTCCCATTTTATATTTGTGCTTTTTTTAGTTCCCCTTCCACTAATGAGAGGCATTCAGCAAGTACTTAATAACTGTCCGGACACAAATCTTGATAAGAATAAAAGATGGCGTAGTCCAATATAATCTGTGTATAATAAGATCCCTGATCAAACCTTGTTACTAACTTATCTGAAACCAAATAATTGGATCCATTAATTGGATTTATTTTTTGGAGGACTTGGCCAGTTTGGATTGTAAGGAGCAAATCATAGGAAAGGCTAGAATCAAGAACTTTTCTACATGGACAGTTGCATTCCATGGTCACTACATGTTTAGCCTTTTGTGATCTTCATATATTTTTGTACAGTGAGAATTTGTCTTTAGGATTGGCCTTTTATAAAGTTAAAAAGATTATGAATCATTAAAGAGGTAAAGTTATGCTCACCAACACATATATGTATAGCAGAAGAAAATCTTAAGGAGTGCCAAAAGTCAGGTCCTTAGATTTATTTGTTCACAAATTCTACTTTTTCCTCCCCCCTCCCCCTTTTTTCTTTTCTTTAAGGTTAAACTTTTGGCAAGGCATTACCTTTCAGCTTACTAAAAACTTTTGCTTCACTATCTCCGCTTTTAATAATTGATAGAACAACTAAACAATATCAAGAATGTAAAACACTTGAGACGCCTGGGTGGCTCAGTTGGTTAAGCTTCTGCCTTCCGCTCTAGCCATGATCCCAGGGTCCTGGGATCGAGTCCCACATCGGGCTCCTTGCTCAGCAGGGAGTCTGCTTCTCCCTCTGCTGCTCCCCCAGTTTGTGTGTCCTCTCTCTGACAAATAAATAAATAAAAATCTTTAAAAAAAATTTAAAGAATGTAAAATACTTGAACACTATCAGTGTTACTTTATATCTACCAACAAGAAGAAAGACCTCAAATCAATAACCTAAGCTTCTGCCTTAAGAAACTAGTAAAATAAGAACTAAACCAAAAGGTAGAAGAGAAGAAATAGTAAAGACTAGAACAAAAATCAATGAAAATGATAGTGTAAAAAAACAGTAATCAGTAGCACCGAACATTCATTCTTTGAAAAGAGTAAGAAAGTTTACAAACCCTTAACTACATTGATTATGAAAAAGAAAAAAAAAAAAAAGGAAAGGCCCAAATTACCAAAAAGCAAGCATGAAAGAAAGAACATCACTATTAACCCTACAGAAAAGGGACTACTATAAGAAATTGTGTGTCATCAAATTCAACAACTTAGATAAAATTGACAAATTCCTAGGAAAATATAAATTACCAAAACGAACTCAAGAAAAAGTAGAAAATCTAAATAGATCTGTAACAAGTAAAGAGGTTGAATTAGTAACTAAAAAATCTTCACTCAGAAAAGCCAAGGTCCAGATGTCTTCACTGGTAACCAACACTGTTTTTACAGAAGTAATACCAATCCTTTACAACTCTTTCAGAAAATAGAGGGAGCACTTCCCATTTTGTTCTATGATGACATTATTACCCTGGTCTCAAAGCAAATATACAAAAAACCTACAGCTAACGTCATAATGTTGAGACTGAATGATTTCACCCTAAGATTGGGAACACCGTTTCTATACAGCATTGTAATGGATGTTGTAGCCAGTGTAATCAGGAAAGGAAAAGAAGCAAAAATGGCATGATTCTGTATGTCGACAGTCCTAAGGAATCCACAGAAAAGGCAGTGAGACTAAATAAACTAGTTGAGCAAGTTCTCAGGATTCAAGATTAGTATACAAAATTAAGTTGTGTTTCTATGTATTAGCACAGACAATCCAAAAATGAAATTAGAAAAACAATTGCATTCACAATAACATCAGAAAGAATAAAATACTTACGAATAAATGTAACAAAAATGAGACTTGTACTATAACTATAAAACAGTAGTGAGGAAATAAAGATCTACATAAACAAAGAAACACATTTCCCGTTCATGGAGTACATCTCAGTTTCAGCACTATTGTCATTTTTGGCTGGTAATTTTTTGTTGTGAAGGCTGTCCTGGGCATTTAATAGCATCCCTGCCCTCTGCCCATAAGAGTCCTTTACCTTCAGTTGTGACAACCAAAAAAATACCTCTAGGCATTGCCAAATGATTGAGTCCCGCATTGGGCTCCCTGCTCCTTGGGAGCCTGCTTCTCCCTCTGCCTCTCTCTCTCTCTCTCTCTCTCTGTCTCTCATGAATAAATAAAAAAAAATTAAAAAAAAAAAAAAACCACTCAGATTGAGAACCACTAATAGATTGGGAACCTCCGTGTTGTTAATTGATTTGTACATTCAGTGCATTTGTTTTTATTTTTTTAAGATTTTTTATTTATTTATTTGACAGAGTTAGCAAGAGCAGGAACACAAGCAGGGGGAGTGGGAGAGGGAGAAGCAAGCTTCCCACTGACCAGGGAGCCCGACGCGGGGCTCAATCCCAGGACGGTGGGATCATGACCTAAGCCAAAGGCAGATACCCAACGACTGAGCCACCCAAGCGCCCTTTCAGTGCATTTTCTATCAAAATGCCTACAACAGGCATTTTTGCAGAAATTAATAGGCTGATCCTTATTTGGAAATGTAAAAAACCTAAACAGTTTTGAAAAAGAAGAACAAAATCAGGGAACTCAATACTTGTCTGATTTCAAAACTTCTGGAAAGCTGCAGCAGTCAGGACAATGTGGTACTGACATCAGGGTGAACATAGAAAAATAGAAGAGAAATGAGACTTCAAATATAAAACCCTCCCACTTATAGTCAGTTGATTTTGGACAAAGGTGCCAAGATAATTTAAATATGGAAAGGATAGTCTTTTTAACAGATAATGCTGAGTTATGAATATTCATATGCAGAAGATTAATTTATATTCTTACCTTGTACCATACAGTAAAATTAACTTGAGGTAGTACCCTAGAATCCTGCCATTTGTTCAGTATATGTCCTCATCAATGGGAAAGTCTTTGTGAAAAGTCAAGGATTGGCAGAAGCCAGTTGGTTGGTTGACAGTGTAATCAAAGCAAAGAGAGGATCTTCATGAATATATTGTATCAAGCTCTGAACTCAACCATCTCTAATGACCAGGATATTTATACATCTTGGCCAATAAATCCTCTCTTTTGGTTCTCTGGATACACTGAAATAATCTTTTCTTTTTTCCTTTTAGTATCACTCACCTAGAATACTAGCAGCTCATGGTCAAGTGGGCTACATAACTGAATGAATCATAGTCCAGTCATGCTTTGATTACCTGTATACAGAGAGACCATTTATCCTGCACATTTCCAGATGTGCTCCTGATGCATCATTTCTTTCGTCTAGGCCTCTCTAGTTTGTGGAGGAAACTTTTGCGATGAGAGCCTCAGTTTTGGCAGGATGGTACTTTATGTAGACATGTAAGCATTGACCCATATACAAAAAAGGAGAAGGACTATTGACTTTTAGGTGTAGTAAGGGCTTTGTAGTAAGGGCTGAAACAAAGCATTTTTCTCTTAACTTACAACTTAACTGGAAGTTTTCATAAACTGCAGTTTCTGTCCCCTCACATTCTGGTTAATAAAAATCTTTTTATTGCCTCAGCCCTTGGTACTTAAAATTTTTTAAGTTTAAAAATTAAAACTTTTTTTAAGTTTTAAAAAAACTTAAAATCCTCTTACTCTTGAAAAGAGTAAGAAAGTTTACAAACCCTTAACTACACTGATTATGAAAAAGAAAAAAAAAAAAGGAAAGGCCCAAATTACCAAAAAGCAAGCATGAAAGAAAGAACATCACTACTAACCCTACAGAAAAGGGACAACTATAAGAAATTCTGTGTCATCAAATTCAACAACTTAGATAAAATTGACAAATTCATAAACTGCAATTAGACCTGTGAGAGTGAAAGTCAGTGATCCTCTATACCACACATGCACGTTTCGTCTACATTCCAGTTTGCCATTTGTCAGTGCCATTCTAGATGGGCATGTTTTCAATTATGTGATCTCAGTTTTCACTACAGACCTTTGAATCAGATGATACTTTGCTCCATTTTACAGATGAAGTACCTTATCTAGGATCGCAGAAGTAATAGTAGATCTGTCATTGAACTCTGTACACTATACAGTCTATGCGTAATTTAGGTTAAACTACTTTGAATATTTTCTTCCCAAGCAGAAAATGGTAAGTTCTTGGTCAGTATTTTGGCACTACTGCAGAAAGTAATCACAGTGTGAAGTTCCCCCTCCTGAGGGCTAGAAGAAATAAGATAATACCCCCAAGTGTTTCCCGAAGTCTGTTAATCCTCGTGATCACCAGGGAACTGTTTCTCTTGTAGGTGATCATCGTCTTGCCCTTCTTTTATCCCAGCTGGTGGGTAGCCAGTCAATCCGGGAGCTGCTTACTATGCAGCTGGTGGATTGGCAACAGCTCCAGGCTAACTGTTTCATCCAGGATGAGAGATTGCGCATCTTTGCCTTATTGGCTGGAAAACCGGTACTTTCCTCTTTTCTCATAAACTTGCATAAATTTTCTGATAAATTCAAGATGGCTTGAGGTAAAGGGAAAGAGCTATCTTTGTAAATTGTATACTGTGACACATAACTAAACAACTTGTTTTTAAATTTTAGTGGAAGTATTTTGAAATTACAGAGGTACAACATGTACATTGTAAAAGAAAACTGGCTATATAGAAATTAAAACATTAAAATTCACAGTATCCCTTATCCTAGTGGTAAACAACATAATTTGTAGTCTCTTTCCAGACATATTGTAAGTCTATATCAACATATATGTGTGCATATTTACATGTGTGTATATTCCAATAAAATCAGTATAAATAGTTCTGCAAGTTAACTGTATATGGACATTTTTTCATGTCGTGTAGCATCACTCTTTTTAGTAGCCACTTCTGTTCATTTTATGGGTGATATAACATAATTATTTTAAGCCAGTTTTCTTTTGCTGCCCGCCTGATTGACATCTTGATGTCACTTTCCAAAAATGAAATAGCTGGTCAGAATTTATGCACAAATTAAAGTTTTATAAGATGGCAGCTGTAGGCAGTAAGAAGACCTCCTCTTCACTCTCTGTGGTTCTCATCTCTTCTCAGAGTACCGATAGTCTAAATCCGCCCTCTCACCTGCCACCAAGGAATTATGTATTTTATATTTGGATCATTAACACTGCCAGTCTAGTTCATTTAAAATGTTATTTGAATAGGGGCACCTGGCTGGCTCACTTGGTAGAGCATGCAACTCTTGATCTTGAAGATCGGGAGTTTGAGGCCCATGTTGGGCATCATAGAGATTACTTTAAAAAAAGAAATAAAATGTTACTTGAATAAGTGAGTAACTTGCAGATCTGGGCAGTAACAAGAGAATGTATAACACATAGCTGTGATGATGATTTTGTCTCCTGCAGGTATGGCAGCTCACAGAGCACAGGCAAATCAATGTGTGCTCATATTTGGATTGGAAACGCGCCCTGGCTGTTCATCTTTGGTATTTGCTTCCACCAACAGCCTCCATTTCCAGGGCACTCAGCATGTATGAAGAAGCATTTCAGGTATTTATGTCCAGTAGAGCCAACCAAGAGTCATGGGGGGAGTTCTGTTTTTGCCAGAAAAGTACTGCAGAGAAAAAAACATCAAGGCACACTTCATAATACTTTTTCCTGACTGCTTTTTTTGGAAGTACCATAAAATTGAAATGGACCAAGGAAATCTGATGGGAAACTTTTCTCCTGCCTGTGGACAGGGTTACTCTTAAACTTCTCCAAGTGTCTGCTTCTATTTTATTTAGTATGATGTTTCCACAGTTGACCTTCTTAAAGCTGTTTTCCTGCCCCCAAATGAGAGGGGTTTTCTTTATTCCTAATGCTGTTTTATCCTTTTGGGAATTCCCTGAGATACAGCCCAACCTCAAGTTTGGTAATAGCCCCAAATTAGCAGGCCTGAAAATTTTGCCTCTAAATATCATATTTCATATGCCTCGACGGTGTTGAGATTAAAGTATTCATTAATGTGAGGGGTGCCTGGGTGGCTCAGTTGGTTGAGCATCTGACTCTTGGTTTCGGCTCAGGTCATGGTCTAAGGGTCGTGAGATCGAGCCACGCATCAGGCTCTGTACTCAACAAGAAGTCTGCTTGAGATTCTTTCTCCCTCTCGCTCTGCTCCCCCTGCCTCACACTCACACTCTCCCTCTCTCTCTCTAATAAATAAATAAAATCTTTTTTATTTTTATTTTTTAAAAATATTTTTATTTATTTATTTGACAGAGAGAGCACAAGCAGGGGGAGTGGCAGGCAGAGGGAGAGGGAGAAGCAGGCTCCCCACTAAGCAGGGAGCCCAATGCGGGGCTTGATCCCAGGACTCTGGGATCATGACCTGAGCTGAAGGCAGACGCTTAACCGACTGAGCCACTCAGGTGCCCCAAGTAAGATCTCTTTTTTAAAAATATTATTAATGTGGGGTTTTTTAATTTATTATTTTCTTTAGGGAGAGAGAGAGTACGAGAGGTAGTGGGAGGGTCAGAAGGATAGAGAGAATCCCAAGCAGGCTCCACGCCTCAGTTTCACAACCCTAAGACCATAACGAGCCAAAACCAAGAGTCGGACGCTTAACCAACTGAGCCACCCAGGCACCACTATTAATGTTTTTAAAGCCCTCATTTCTTCAGTTCTTTCCTTACTGTCCACAGTTACTCTCTTTGATATCACTTGTCAGAATTCTCAGGAGAAAGAGAACACTAAAGAAACTGAGTGTAATAAGAATTGTGACAAGAAATAAAAAAGAATGTGACAAGAAAGGTATGAGGATTAATGACAGCTATCCAAAGTCTTTGATAGTCCTTGAAGACAGGTGGGCCATGTCACCACAAAATAAGCTTAAGATCCTTGACACATTCCATTAGGGTGTCATCATTCTTAATATATGTGTCTAAGTCACTGATACATGATCACATCTAGTGAAACACACTCGCAGGTGGTGTACTGTTTTATCAAATTCTTCCCTTCAGAATTCCTCTGAGGCTGACAGGTATGCCTGCTCCCCACTTCCTGCATACCTGGAGGGCTCTGGCTGTGTGATAAAGGAGGAAGAAAACTCACAGAGACCACTTCAAGATGTCTGCTTTCATCTTCTAAAACTCTACAGTGATAGGTAAGTCAAAGCCATGCATGATAGTCACTTGAGGACTTAATCAGCCCTAGGGAGTCCTTTCCTGAGTTTTTTCCCTTTAATGTGAAGCCAAATTGCCGTAAGTTTGTATAAATTAACAAAGTATAATTTATAGTAGTTGAATGCAAAGAACATTGGAACTAGGGTTAGAAATCTAAAAAGTGATTAATAAGATACAATTTACAAATAGGGAAGTGTGCATTATAATATAGTGTAACTGTCATCATCAACATATCAATTACATTACCCCCCAGAAGTTCCCTCATGCCCCTTTGCAATCAGTCCCCACCCCCAAATAAGTAAGTAACTGACTTTTTGTTACTATAGATTAATTTTGTGCTCTATTGGGATCATTCTGTTAAATTTTGTGCCTAGCTTCTTTCGTTCACATAATGGTTTTGAGATTTATCCATATTAATATGTGTATTAGAAGGTTTTTTTATTGCATAATTTCATTTATTGATGGAAAGTTATGAATAAAGATGCCATGAACATTTATGTGCAAAAGTGTTCATATCATTTTACATTCACACTAGAACTCTAGGTGTTCCATATCCTCTTCAAAATTTGGTACTGTCAGTTTTTCAAATTTTGCCATTTTAATGGGCATATAGTGGCATCTCATTGTGTGTGTGTTGTTGTTAAACAAGAAACTGGTTTATTTATCCTGCAGGAGTATATGAACCCATTCTATTATTACAGATAATCAGTTAATTAAAACTATCTCAGCGGAACTATTGCACATATTATCAGAAACACTGAGGGATTTTTTCCAGTCGTAACTAATCACTCCTATCTCATTTCAATTATTTAAATACTTTTAAGTATTAAGTATGTAACTATGTTAGAATATGATATAGTTTTTGTTTGTTTTAAGATTTTATTTATTAGAATGCGCACAAGCGGTGGGGGGGACGGGGATGGGGGCAGAGGGAGAGGGACACGGGGCCTCGATCTCAACCGAGTGAGCCACCCAGGCACTCCCAGATAATACAGTTTTGTATTGTGGTAAACTATAAATAACTAAAGTAGGGCGCCTGGGTGGCTCAGTCGTTAAGCGTCTGCCTTCAGCTCAGGTCATGATCCCAGGGTCCTGGGATTGAGCCCCACATCGGGCTCCCTGCTCTGAGGGAAGCCTGCTTCTCCCTCTCCCACTCCCCCTGCTTGTGTTCCCTCTCTCGCTGTGTTTCTCTCTGTCAAATAAATAAAATCTTAAAATAAATAAAGTAGTGCTTTAATTTGCACTCCTTAATGACTAATGATGTTGAGCCTTTTTTCATGTGCTTATTTACCATGGTTTCTATATCTTCCTTTCAAAACTGTTCATACTTTTTTGCCTATTTTTTAATAGGGTTGTCTTGTGTTGCAATAATTCTTTATATATTCTGGATCTATATTATATATATATTTTTTATTATAAATATGTTTTTGCAATTATCCTAGTATAAGGGCTTGTTTTTTTCAATGTCTTAATAAAGAAAATGAGAACTTTTACATTTTAAGTTCAATTAAAGTTTTTAAATTATAAAGTCAATTTCTTTACTAGTCTGTTGAGGTTTTCTATTTATTCTTGAGTCACTTTTGATCATTTGCTTCTACTAAGGAATTTGTTTCCCTGAAGTCATCAAATTTATTGGCATAAAGTTATTCATAACATTTTCCTTATCCTTTTTAAATATCTATATGATCTGTAACTGTCTGTCTCCTTGATATTGGTAATGTGTGTCCTGTATCTTTTTTTTCTTGATTGTTTTACCTACAGCTTTTAGTTTTATTGCTTATCTCTATTATTTGTCCAGTTCAAGATGGATCAGAAACCTAATTTCAAACTTAAACCAGAAAACAAACAGAAGAAACCAAACAGGAAGATCTTTGCAACTGTGAGTTAGGCAAAGATTTTTTTGATACCAAATAAATAACCTGTAGAAGAAAAAATTGGTGCACTGGACTTCAGAAAAATTAAAAACTATTGGTCATGAAAAACTGTTAGGAGAATGAAAAGACAAGCCACAGATCGGGGGAAGATACTTGCAATTCATATATCTGATAAAGACCTTGTATCCAGAACATATAAAGAACTCCTTTTTAAAAAAAAAAAAAAAAGATTTTATTTATTTGAGAGAGAGAGTGTGCAGGCAGGTGGAGTGGGAGAGGAAGAAGCAGACTCCGTGCTAAGCGTGGAGCCTGACACGGGGCTCGATCTCTCAACCCTGAGATCATGACCTAAGCTGAAATCAAGAGTTGGATGCTTAACTGACAGAGCCACCCAGGTGTCCCCAGAACATTTAAAGAACTCTTAAAACTCAATAATAATTAAACAATCCAATTTTAAAAGTGGGCAAAATATTTAGGGGCGCTTGGGTGGCTTAGTCGGTTAAGTGGCTGCCTTCGGCTCGGGTCATGATCCCAAGGTCCTGGAATCGAGCCCTGCATCGGGCTCCCTGCTCGGCGGGAAGCCTGCTTCTCCCTCTCCCACTCCCCCTGCTTGTGTTCCCTCTCTCGCTGTGTCTCTCTCTGTCAAATAAATAAATTAAATCTTAAAAAAAAAAATGGGCAAAATATTTAAACATTTGCTTTACCAAAGAAGACCTAGATGTCAAGCACATGAAAAAGTGTTCAGCATCAATAGACAACAGGGAAATGCAAATTAAAACCATCATGGGGTACCACTGTCCACCTATTAGAATATGATTAGAAATTAAAAAGACCTAGGGCGCCTGTGTGGCTCAGTCAGTTAAGCCTCCGACTCTTGATCTCACCTCAGGTCTTAGGGTCATGAGTGCAAGAGTCTCCCAGCATGGAACCTACTTAAAAAAAAAAAACCTGTACCAAGTGTTGTGATAGATGTGGAAGCAACTTGAATTCTCATACACTGGTGGTGAAAAATGTAAAATGGTATTGGCACTTTCGTAAACAGTTTGGCAGCTTAGAAAGTTAGACATACACCTGCCTGCATATGATCCAGTCATGCCACTCCTAGGTATTTACCCAAAAGAATGAAAACATATATCTATATGCAAATGTTTGTAACAGCTGTTTGTAATGATCCAAAACTGGAAACAAGCCAAATTTCTATCAACAGGTGAATAGATAAACAAATTGTGGTATATCTATATAATGGAATGCTACTCAGCAATAAAAGGGAATGAACTGTTGATACACAAGATAACAGAGTGAATCACAAGATAATTTTACTTGGTTTTGAAAGAGGTGAGACAAAAAAGTACCCAGAAACATACATATTGTATGATTCCAATTTACCTAAAATTCTGGAACATGCAAACTGATTAATCCCAGAAAACAGATCAGTGGTTGCCTGGGAAGAGTGGGTATAAGGAGGGGCAGGAAGAGGGGGATTACAAAGAGTCATAAGGAAACTTTTGGAGGTGATGAGTGTGTTTGTTATCTTGACCTTGGTGGTAATTTCACAGGTGTGTACATATGTTAAGACTTAATGAAAATTGTACATTCTAAATATGTTCTGTTTACTGTATATCAGGTTTTTTTAATGTCAAAAAACAGAAAAAGAAAGGAATATCTCAAAGTGCCAGTAATAGAGAAACTGGAGCCACAAGGAGATAGTGAACCTTGTTCTCATGAAAGGTAGAATTGCTGTGACTAAATCCTTAAATAAAGTCCACACTCTGTCCCATACAAATAAATAGACTAGAACTGCACTGTCCAACATAATAACTGCTATTCAGATATGACTATTTTAAGTAAACTTTTAAATTTAGTTACACATTCATAGTCACATTTCAAGTGTCTAATAGCCACATGTGGCTGGCTATTGGCTATCATTGGTCAGGGCAGGTTATAGAACATTTCCATCATCCCACAAAGTTCAGTTTGACAGCACTGGTCAAGAAAACTTCTGTTCATTACTTGGGCAAGTATTAGGAAATAAAATGTCTGGGATCTTAGGTAAAAAGGTAAAGTTATTGGATGGTGATCTAAGCCTTAAAACTTGCAGGTGTGAGATCTTAGTTTAATAGGGAATTGCAAGCTAAGAACTTTACACATAAACTGGTCCAGGACCATTAAAATCTTTGGGATGCCAGCAGAAGAAAGAGCAAAAGTCTGAATTTTTTCAGACGTTTGCTGGGCACCTGAATTTCCTTCTATAGAGAATAATCCCCACTGTAGACAAAATCAGCGGTAGAGATTACAAGCCATAGAAGGAAGTAACCTTCATGAAGACAAGCTGTTCAAACAAACAGGAGACTTAGCACTCCAACAACTTCATGTAATAGAACAGTCTGGAAAATCCTAATATAACTGCATGTTTTTAATGGTTAAGAAAAGTATCGGGGTACCTGGGTGGTTCAGTCGGCTAACCATCTGAACTTCGGCTCAGGTCATGATCTCAGGGTCCTGGGATCCTGGGATCAAGGCTGCACTCAGCAAAAGGTCTACTTCTCCCTCCCCCTCACTCCTCCCTAACTCATGCGCTCTCATACACTCTCTTTCAAATAAATAAAATTTTAAAAATAAATAAATGGTTAAGTGAAGGAATGAAGACTAAGAGTTGTGAAGACTCCATGTACACCAGGATGGTAAATATCTAAGCCAAACAAATACCAGCAAACCTATCAGATCACACAACCACAGAAGAGGAGGTGCCTTCATATTTAGTAGGATCTGTAATCTGGCTGAACCTAGAAGTAGACTGATAGAGCACAGTCTCAGAGGGAGACCATGTGGTCTATAATGCTGCTTTTCTCGGGTGCCTGCCTTTATTATCTTCTAAACCATATCCAGAACAGTTGACCTGTCCAGTGCAGGTGGTCTGCTGCCTTGATATGGTAACTCTCAGCACTTTTTCCTTTGCAGACATTATGATCTCAACCAGCTGCTGGAGCCTCGAAGCATAACAGCCGATCCTTTGGACTATCGCCTAAGCTGGCACTTGTGGGAGGTGCTGCGGGCTCTTAACTATACCCATCTCTCAGAACAGTGTGAGGGTGTGCTACAGACCAGTTATGCTGGCCAACTGGAAAGTGAGGGGCTCTGGGAGTGGGCCATCTTTGTCCTCTTGCACATTGACAACTCAAGGTGAGTAAGAAGCTATCAACCCACTATACATTTAGTGCTACAGGGCAGTGCCAATGACATCAGTCTCCTAGGGTTTAATTGAGTAAGTAAGCATCTAGAATGTATTTTTGGTCCAGCCTTGTGATAAACCTTAGGACAGTTCAACTCGCAGCTATCTCTTTATTCATGTGAACAAGTTGGAAGTGAGACTGCCTTAAGTGCCAAATTATGCTATTTATTATAAGACCTCTCAGTAGTCTAAGAAGTGAGAAGCGATCTCTGCAGTGATCAGGGAATACCCTAGACAGGAACAGGAAATAATTAACAGGAAAGGGAAGGGTATGTCCACATGGGGCTACCCCATTAACTTAGCATTAATTAACATTAACAGATTCACTGTTAATTAGCATTAACAACATTAACAGATTCACTTGAATGTTGCATGGTTAGGAATTACGCAGAAACAATGTTTGCTGAGCTGCCTCAGTGGATCTGTGGAGGGAGTGATGTAATGAGTTGGCAAGGAGGACCCCTGCTTTTTCTGTCTGCTGGCTTTCTCCCTCTCTGGCTTTCCCTTGCCATCCACCCACACCTACCCCTCAAGTTTGATAGTATTGTATTTACCAGTATATCCTTGCTTAGATGCCTAATGTTTTCGCTCTCTATCCTAAAAGAGCCTTTTCTCCATGGTGTGAATGAGATAAAGTTGGAGACTTCCTTTTTTGTTAATGGTAGTAGCATGGCATTACACTAATAACAAAAACATTTGTATAGTACTTTGTCGTATAGTATTTTTACATATATTTATACTGTTGTAAATACTTTACAACTCAATTGTAATTGATCAACTCAATGCTCATAATGAACCTATAAGCGCTCTTACAATCTCTGTTTTATAGATGCGCAGCCTAAGACACAGAGAGATTAAGTAATTTTTGCTCAAGGTCACATGGCTAGTAAATGGCAGTCTTCCAACTCAAGACACCCAGAGTCTGTGCTCTTAATCATTATGCTGCACTCTCTGTCATGTTACATAGTGTGGAAAGAAGTTGAGTTTTGTAGTCAGACCTCCCTTAATTCTAGATCCATCATGTACTCACTTTGACCTGGAGTAAAGCTTACTCACTTTGATTTTTGGTTAAAGATACTTTCTTTTTATCAGTAAAATCATAATATTAATGCCTACCTAGTCAAAGGTGGTTGTGGGATTAAAGGAGGAAAAGTAGGAGTGCCTGGCTGGCTCAGTTGGTGGAGTATGTGACTCTTGATCTTGGGGTCGTGAGTTCGAGCCCCACATTGGGCAGAGATTACTTAATAAAAAATTTTTAAGGGGCTCCTGGGTGGCTCAGTAAGTTAAGCATCCGACTCTTGGTTTCAGCTCAGGTCATGATCTCAGGATCGTGAGATCAAGCCCCATGTGGGTCTCTGTGCTTAGCACAGTCTGCTTGAGATTCTCTACCTTTTCCCTCCCACTTTGCGCCTCTCGCAGCTCTCTCTTTCTCTCTCTCTCTAAAATCAATGAAATCTTAAAAAAAAAAAAATTTTTTTTTAAAGGGAGTAAAAGTATAAAGCATCTAGCACAGCCTTCCGTTTAAGGAATTTCTCCTCTTCTCCCTTACCAGGAAGCAAAATGACTTTATACTTCCCTTTGAGTTTATTTAAATTCATGGGGAATTTCACATGGTAAAAGGCTGGCTATAAGATAACTGATGGTTTAAGAGTAGGCTCTAGGGAAGCCTATTTTCTGATAAAGGATTTTTTTAAATGAATTTTTCAATTTATTTTGTTTTTTTATGTATGTATGTATGTATGTTATCTCTACACTCAACATGGGGTTCAAACTCAGGACCCTGCTCTTCTGACTGACCCAGCCAGGTGCCACCTGATAAAGAATTTTAGAAATGAAGCAGTTGAGATTGGGGGTCCGTGGAAAGCCTTGAGAAGATCCTTGAAAAGGTGTTCAGAAAAGATTCTAAGACGAGGAAACTAGTTTTGATTTGATATTTAAATCTGGTCCTTTGGGGAGCGCCTGGGTGGCTCAGTCAGTTAAGCGTCTGCCTTTAGCTCAGGTCATGATCCCAGGGTCGTTGGAACATGATCCGAGGGTCGTGGGATCGAGCCTGCTCAGCAGGGAGCCTGCTCCTCCCTCTCCCTCTCCCAATCTCCGTGTTTGTGTTCTCTTGCTCTCCCTCAAAAAAATAATTATGGTCCTTTGTGGCACCTGAGTGGCTGAGTCTGTTGAGCGTCCGACTCTTGATTTCGGCTCAGATCATGATCTCAGAGTAGTGGGGTCAAACCCCGCATTGGGCTCTGTGCTGCTTGAGATTCTCCCTCTCCCTCTGCCCATCCCCCCCCCCCAGCTCTCTCCCACTCTCTCGCCCTCTGAAATAAATAACATCTTTTATTTTTTTAAAAGATGTTATTTATTTATTTGAGAGAGAGAGAATGAGAGACAGCACGAGAGGGAAGAGGGTCAGAGGGAGAAGCAGACCCCCCGCTGAGCAGGGAGCCCGATGCGGGACTCGATCCCAGGACTCCAGGATCATGACCTGAGCCGAAGGCAGTCGCTTAACCAACTGAGCCACCCAGGCGTCCTAAATAACATCTTTTAAAAGAAAAATAAATAAATGGCTGGTCCTTTGGCCCAGGTAGGAAAGGACTCTCCTTAAGGGGCCTTGAGACCAAAAAGAGGGTAGCCTAAATCTAGAGGCAGAGAGAAAATGAATTAGGAAAGCTGATGGCTTTGAAGGGAAAAAAGCAAACAAGGACCTGGAAGAGACCTTACCTTTCAAAACTAATTCATTTACTTGTACTGACCATATGGGAGAAGAGGAAGGGAGAAGGTTGGAAATGAACTACAAAGAACTACTCTGTGGAGAATAGGATTCTCCTATCCTAGTCCTTGATCTCCAGTTACTAGGAATAAAATAAAAAAGAGGGAAAGCCTTTTCTTAGCACTGGACAATCTTCCCTAGAGTATTAGTTTTCACTGTTTTTTGATCATGAAACTATAATGTGCTTAGATACTTCTATTTTATTTAAAAAATAAATGGTGATATGGCTTTTTTTTTTTTTTTTAAGTGAAGTTTGAAGTGGTTTACTCATTGTTAAGACCTACAGTTTGAGAGACTATCTCAGGGGTCACTCTGCCCTGGCTGAGGCAGCCTTCTCCATCAGTGAGGATAGGATGTATTCAGCATTGTCTTTCTTCCTACAGCATGCGTGAGAAGGCGGTTCGAGAGCTGCTTACCCGGCACTGCCAGCTATTAGAGACCCCAGAATCTTGGGCTAAGGAGACTTTCCTGACCCAGAAGCTTTGTGTGCCTGCTGAGTGGATTAATGAGGCCAAAGCAGTTCGAGCACACATGGAATCTGACAAGCACTTGGAGGCCCTCTATTTATTTAAAGCTGGACACTGGAACCGCTGCCACAAATTCATCATCAAGCACTTAGCTTCTGGTGAGTGCTTCAGACTAGGGCCTGTGTCTCCTGGAATCACCCCAAATTCTTCCAACCCCAGAACCCCATGATTAGTCAGGCCAGAGATGATGTTCTGGAACTTTGCAGTCTTGAATCAGATTACACTTTGCAAAAGTTCTCTGTGCAGAATAAACTTGGGCAGGGGTTGACAGGTTGTTTACTTTACCATTTGCAAGGTTATGATTGATATACATGAATTATGTTGAACTCCTTGTGTGTTTAGGGAATTTTATCTACCAGAATGAAAAAGGAGACATTGTAACTGATACCATAGAAATACAAAGGATCATTAGAGACTACTATGAACAGTTATATACCAACAAATTGGGCAACCTAGAAGAATTGGATAAATTCCTAGAAACATAGCCTTCCAAGACTGAATCAGGAAGAAATAGAAAATCTGAACAGACCAATTAGTAGTAAAGCAGATTGAATCAGTAATCAAAAAACGCCCTACAAGTAAAAGTCCAGGACCAGATGGCTTCACTAATGAATTCTACCAAACATTCAAAGAATTAATACCAATCCTTCTCAAACTCTTCCAAAAAATAGAGGGGAGAACATTTCCAAACTTACTTTATAAGGCCAGCATTACCCTGATATCAAAACCAGACAAGGATACCATAAGAAAAGGAAAGTACAGACCAATATCACTGGTGAAGCTGATGGTTCACCAGGGATAGATGCAGAAATTCTCAGCAAATTATTAGCAAACCAAATTCAGCAATACATTAAAAGGATTATACACCATGATCAAATGAGATTTATAACAGGGATGGTTTAACATTTACAAATCAATCAGTGTGACACACCACATTAACAAAATGAAGGATAAAAATCATATGATCATCTCAATAGATGCAGAAAAAGCATTTGGTAAATTCAACATCCATTTGTAATAAAAACTAGTTGGTATAGAAGGAACATACCTCAATAATAAAGTCCATATATGACAAGCCCATAGCTAACATGCTCAATGGTGAAAAGCTTTTAGCTTTTCCTCTAAGATCAGGAAGAAGACAAGGAAGGGTTCCCACTGTTACCACTTCTGTTGCATTCCTATACACTAATAATGAATTATGAGAAAGAGGAATTAAGAAAACAATCCCAGGGACACCTGGGTGGCTCAGTCAGGTAAGCATCTGCCTTCAGCTCAGGTCATGGTCCCAGGGTCCTGGGATCAAGTCCTGCATTGGGCTCCTTCCTTAGCGGGGAGCCTACTTCTCCCTCTGCCTGCCACTCCCCCTACTTGTGTACTCACTCGCTCTCTCTCACAAATAAAATAAA